GGCCCCTGCATGCTCTTCTGAAAGCTCCTTAAGGAACTAAAGACCATTTTTAGCTCAGTGGTCAGCATATCCATGCTGGGGCCCGATGGCCCTTTCTTCCTAGTGAGTCCTGGCCTCTCTGTGCCTTGGTCACTGCACACCCACCCACAGTGTGAGACCGTGCAGGCAACGCCGTGCACTAAGTGCTTCTCTTCAGGGGGTCACGCCATGCCCCCAGAAGGCTGTGCTTGTTCACCCCCATCCACACGTCAGGGAACTGAGGTTCAGGTCGGGCAAGCAGCCTGCTCGCTCAAGGTCACACAGTGGCAAGGTGACCACAAAGACGCCGCCCCTCGCAGAGGTCTGCCCAGGCAGCACAGCCAACCCAAACGTCCCCAAGCAGAGGGCCGAGCAGGCCTGTCTGCTTGCGGCCTCCCACCTCTGGCCGGACCCTGGCTATCTGGGGATAAGGTGCCCACACCACAAGGACACCAGAAGTGCCCCTCTGAAAAGGCCCGCCCAGCCCCGAGTGAATGAGGGGGAACGGAGATCCGCCCACAGTCAGACAGCTGAAGGCGCAGCGAAGGTCCAGCTGGGGAGGCGCTAACGTCCTGTAGTGATGACCATGGGCAGGAGCGCTGAGCCCAGCACCAGGGACCGTCTCACCGTCCTGCCAGAAGTGGGTGAGGCAAGATCCACCCACATGCCTCCTACTTCGTCCTGCTCCTGCAGCTCCATCTCCGTGCTGGACACCTCGGAACCCTCCAGCTCAGCATCACGTCCTGGGCTGCCACCCGCACGCACAGGCGAGGGTGCAGAGACTCAGGGGGGTAAAGCCCCTGGCCCAGGTCATGCTGGTCTGCCTGCCTCCGGGGCCCTTCCCCGACCGCGTTCCCTACAGCCCTTGTGCTGTCCCAGGCGACCCTCGTGCTAGGCACAGTGTCCTCAACACCCCTGGGCACAGCGTATGGAGGAGGGAGTGGGTAAACACCCCAAGGGCTCCGCCCTTCCCTGGGGCGTGGGAAGGCACCCCCTGCAGTACTGCCATCATTGGGGAAAATGGAAACACTTGTCCCTTGATTTGTCACCACCTACAACCCAGGCCCTAGGCAGAACCAAGGGCTCCACACTCTGGGATTTAATTCTGGACCCAGCTGGTGCCTGTGGAGGTCCCGAAGGCAGGGGCTGGGTCCCAGGGGGCACTGCCAGGCCGGGGAGGCTGGCCATGGCCACCTGGGAACTGCTGGCCCTCCACATCACTGGGCCACCCGCCCGCCTCCCTTTCGGGGAGCCTGAGTCAAACCTGCTGGTGAGAACTCACCCCCGTCCTCACCCTGATGCACCCGAGGAAGCCTCTCCATCACAGGTACGCCCAACTCCGTGGGGGTAGTTTCTACAATTGGTTTGTGTTTTCTTAGCACAAAATGTGGACACAGAAAGACTTAAAAATCACACACGGACAAAAAAAAAGCAGAGTTCAAACTTCTGCGGTTCAGTGACGCTGAACACGTCCACCACCACCATTTGGGAACAGGGAACGCAAGAAGGGGCTCCCCCAAATCCTCCCGTCCCACCACCAAGAGATAACCACATTGCCACCTGCCAAAACTGCCCTCTGGGCTTTGTAGGTGGACGGCGAGAAAAACAGATTAAAAAGGAAGGTTCTGCTCTTTCACAGAAGAGGCTGCACCTTCCCCGGTCGCCGTCCTCTCGGTTAACAGCCCATCTTGTCCCCTGGCCCATCTGAGAGCCCCCACCGTGGGACACAGGGTGCTTGGCCGTCTCCTGGGGGGGGGGGCTGGGGGTGAGGGGTGGGCGGCGGCCTCTGCCTGTTCCCCACCTCGGCACCAGCACAGGGCTCCAGCCACGTCTGGCGGATGAGTGACCCAACGCAGGCCAGAGTGCGGCCTCCAGCTCCACCCCCACCTGGCCTCTCCAGCCCTGTGTCCCCATGAGGAATCCGGTCCTCGGCCTGCAGCTGCACCCAGGTTCCCCAAAGCCGTGTCCACAGCACTCCTTGGGCTCTGCTCTTTCCTCCTGCCCTTTTTTTTCCCCGACCTTCCCCTCATCTCTCCCCAGCCCACTGCACTGCTGCCTCAGCCCCAGTGCCCTTGGAATTGCTCTCGGAGGCCCCCCCTGCACACCCCAACCCCGGCACTGCCCAGCCGCCCCCAGGGCGGCAGTGGCAGCAGTGAACGCCAAGCACCGGCCCAGAGCAGGGCGTCTCCCTGCCTTCGTCCCAGGTGGGTACCGCCCCGTCTCCTCCTGCAGGGTCCCGGGGAAGTGGGTGGTGTGGCCTACTGCTGCACCACCATCAGCCACTCACAGCCACGCCCTGAGCTCCCGCGTGAGGGCCGTGCTCCAGGGCACACCTGCAGGGAGCAGCAGTGGTCTTGCTGATGGCAGAGGAGCTGGCCTCCGCCTTCCCTCAAGAAGCCCCGAGCAGACCTGGCTGGTGTGGCTCAGTGGACTGAGCATCACCCTGCAAACCAAAGGGTCGGCCGTTCGGTCCCGGGTCGGGGCACATGCCTGAGCTGCGGGCCAGGCCCCCAGTCGGGTGAGAGGGCACGAGTGCGACCCACCCCGTTCCTCTCACACGTGGATGTTTCTCTCCGTTTCTACCTCCCTTCCCCTCTCTCTAAAAATAAAAAAATTTCCAAAAAGACACCCCAAGTAAAGAGAAACTGTGCAATCAGCTCCCCAGAGATCCGGAGCTGCCGAAGTCACAGAGACAAGGGTAGACAGTCCCCACCTCGTCCCCCCAGGGTGTGCTGCGGGCTAGGGGAGGGAGGAGCACAGACACACCCAGGACGCCCACCCTGACCTAGGGAGCCAGGCGAGGCTCGCAGGAAGCGAGGCCCGGGCTGGGCCCTGAACGATGGCCAAGGCTTCCAGGGAGAAGGCCGATAACTGCTCCGTGGCCCAGGGTCTAAGGAACGGAGAGGAGACCAGAGGCCTAGGGAGGGGAGGGAGCCTGCGGCTGGAGTGCTGGCGGGACTCAGGGGTCCTCCCTGTGGCCCAGACTCCTCCGCACCCATGGGATTGGGTCCCCGTAGCACTGCCAGCCAGGTCCGTCTGCCAGCAGCCAAGTCCAACTGTTTACCCAACAGAGCTCCAAAAATTCGGCACCATAGCTGGGCGCAGGTTCTTCCCCTGGGGCCTCCTCCTCCCTCAGCACGGAGCCGACCTGGGTCTCCTGCTGCCCAGCACAGGGCCGCTGCTGCCCCGAGTGGGGACTCCACCTCTCCCCTGGGCCGAGGCCGTGGTCCTGTCACCTGCACCAGCTTTCAGTCCAGCAGCCAAACAGCAGCAGTTTCCCAAACCCAAGCCTGGTGTCTGCCTGTCTGTCTCTCATGCACTCACACTCACGCAGAGGCACAAAATGAACATCCTCCCCGGCGCCCGCCACACACCAGTCACTGACGACACAGCGGCAGGCCGCCCCCGCCTCCTGCGGCCTGTCTTCCAGCGAAGCGCACACGAACCCCATGCTCCGTGCCGCGTGTCGAGGGCTGGTAGAACCACGGGACTGGACTCTCTTCCAAGAGTCACAGGGCCCCCAGTGGCCCACACCTCCCACCTGTGCGCACAGTGGCCCCCCGCCGGGACGCCCCGCACCTGTGCCCCTCATTCAAGGTGCTGCTCAAATGCTGCCCCCTCCAGAGCCCACCTCCAGCCCCCCAGAGTCCCTCATCCCCGTCCCCCACGGCTGGCCCAGGCACGGTTAGCAGTGTCTTGAACACAGGACCCCCTCTTTCATCGCTGTGTCCCCCACGTCCTGTGTGCAGCATGTGCTCGCCCGGAGGCTCCCGGGCCTGGCTGTGGTGCTGGGCACCCCGGCCGCTGCGTCCCCCCCTCCCCACCCTGACGCCTGCCTGCGGGTTTCTCCTCCCAGAAGAGGCTCCTCCGCTCCCACCCCTGAGAACAGGGAGTGGTCTGGCCCCTGTGAGCCAAGAAGGAACATGGCTGGAGCTCTCGGCGTCCATCCGAGGGGCCCCTCTGGCCCAGGATGGTGTGAGGCCGACAGCGCCCCTCCAGTTCCAGGGCCCAGGCCCACTCGCAGGTGCCCTTTGGCCCCGCCGGCACCCTGGGCAGGACAGCAGTGCCGCCGGCCTCCACAGAGCAGAGCCCGGGGGTGGCAGGAGGTGTGACTCCTCACCGTGTCACCTCCCAGCCCCTCAGCAGGCTTCCCACCCTGACGCCCTTGCCCACGTCCTCAGGGTCCCGCTGTCCCTTCCCTACCCTGTACCAGGGACAACATGTGGCCTCACCACACATTCCTCTGAAGAAGTGAACCCAGAACAATGGGCCCCAAATAGGGGCCGAGGGCCCGCCTTCCCTCCCGGACCACGGACAGGCAGCCTGGCACCCTTCCGGCCCCCCCTCCCATCAGTCCCCCCGCCCCTGCGGCCACGCGGCAGCCTTCCCCCACTGCAGATCCCTCCCAGCACACAAAATGCAGCAGGTGAACGGCTGAACCTCACTCCCTTCCAAAGCCTTCCTGACCCCGAGCCCCCACCCGCCCTCGGGTCTGGTCTCTGCTTCCTCCAACAAAACTCCTGAAGGGGAAGGAGGTGTCAAGTTGAGAGCTTGGCTCTGCAGCCAGTCTGCCCAGCTCCTTGGCTTCTGGGCGTGGATGAGGGACCTGTGCCCCCCTCACCGTGAGCCTCCCCAACCTCTTTGCCATTGTCCCCCCCCCCCCCCCAGCCTGCCTGCACTTGCTACGCCTCCCTGCAGCTAGCTCCCTCCAGGGCTCCTCTCAGGCCTCAGCTCTCTTGTCCTTACAGGTGACTTTCCTGACCCTTGTAGCTCAAGTGACCCCACCCCCCCGCTGCCACCCTGATCAGTTGCTATCCTTCCCTTTAGGTAGTGAGCCTTCCCATGGCCCAGGAAAGGCTCCCCCCAGACCCCAGGGAAATAGCTCAAGCTCTAGACTCCATGGCCGGGGGAAGGGGATTTGATGGGGGGGCGAACAGTCCTGCGGAAATGGAACAAGCACGTGGCATGAAAAGACACAGGTGACAGGTGCAAAACAGAGGCTTTAATCCAAACAGAATGAAGGCGCAAAGGGGCTGAGTGGGGCCTGCAAGGGCACGGGAAGGGGGTGCGGGGAAGGAGGAGCCGGGAAGGTGGTGGTCGGGACCCTGGGAGAGAGGCAGGCCCCCACGGAGCCTCTGCCTCTGCTCGAAAACTGTGACCCTGTGCCTCCTGTCCCGGCCTCTGCCCAGGCCGCCAGTCCAGATCCAAGGGTTAAGCCCCTGAATTGTGCTTCTTGGGGCTCCAGTGCACCCGAGAAAGGTGCGCTCCTTGTGGCTCACCTCTCCCAGAGGGGATGCGGCCCCAGACATGAGCAGGGGCTAGTGGAGAAGGGCGGGCCTGGGCTTGGGCGGGGAGCATCTGCGGGAGGCAGGCCAGGAGCAGCCCTAGAGGAAAACTCTGGAAAGGAAATCAACATGCTGCTACCAGGAGCCCCTCAGCCCTGGGTGGTCCTGCCCATCCTCAGAGCCAAAGCCCAAGCCTGGGCGGCCACCACCACCCCACCCTGGATGCCAACAGGCAAGTTCAGGGAGGTAGGAGGACCAGGGGGTGGGCTTTCTGGGCCCGCCCGCTAAGAACCTTGGGAAAGCAGCAGTGAGGAGACAGAGGTGGCCACAAGGGTATACCAGGAGGAACCCAGGCTGTCCCCAACCACGACAGGCCCCAAGCCCCTTCCAGTCTCTGCCACCCGCTCCCGGCCAGAGACAGCTTTGGAAGGGCAAACCTTGCCCCATGAGTCTGGAGCAAGCCCCGAGGGGCCCTCTCAGGTACCACACCCACCGAAGGGCAGCTTGCAGAGGCTCTTCTGGGGCGGGAACAGGTGTGGCCATGGCAGAAGACCCAAGGAGCCAAGGCCCAGAGAACAGAGAAGCCAGGAAGAGGCACTGAACACAGGCGCCCTGAGGCCCAGGGGCAGCTGTGATGAGGAACTGGGAGGTCACCAGACAGCCAGCACCTCTCCCCGCCTGCCCCGCCCCAGGCTGGCCGCTGGCCTCAGCCTTCAGCCCCCAGACACCCACCCCAACATGGCTTGGGAAACTGACCCACCCGTCAACTGAGCCAACCCCAAGAAAGCAACAGAACGGGCCAAACACCTCCCCTCCCCACAGTGGTGCACAGCAGCCTGGGTCCCAGGACCGGACTGGCCAGAGGGTCGAGCCGAAGGCCAGAAGCGGGGTAGGGCCCGGGGACCCTGTCCCAGCCCCTCTCTTCTTGACCGTCCACCATGGCAGAAGTCAGCAAACTGGCCACACTTTGGTCACTTCTCCCAACTTGGATCCTTCAGCCATATGCCTTGAGCCTTTCCTGACCCCGCATTCACCACCCACCCCAGTAAACAGCCTCTCATCAAACAGAAAGAACACAGGGAGGGGGCGGGAGGGGCCACAGCTGGGGTCAGGAAGGGCAGGCACGGGAACTGCGGCCTGGATGGCACTGGCCGCTCAGCCCCTCCTAGCACAAGGAGACGGGCTGGATGGGCAGCAGGCTTCCAAACTTGAAGTGCTGGATCACGGGGAACTTCTCCAGGCACTGTGAGGGAGGAGAGGAGAAGCAGAGGTGAGGGCCGCATGGCACCCTGCCAAGGCCTGCTCAGGCCTCCGAGGGACCCCTGGACACCTCTGGACACTCGGACCAGCATGGGTCTAAAGGCGTCCCAGGACCCAGGAGGAAGTCCCATCTCAGGGTAAGCGACTCCCAGTCTCTGGGGAAGGGAAGGGTTTCCTACCTCTCCCTGACCACCCCATCCCATCCAAAGACCCCCACTCCATGACAGTCAGACCCACCAAATGAGAATGAGAGAGAGAGAGAGGGAAGAGAGCCCAACCCCCTGAAGCAGAAGTCAAGAAGAGAGGCAGCCAAGGGACATCACTTGGCCCAGAGGGCAAGCTGGGACCAGGACAAGAAGAACCCTCTAGATCAACGAAGGACCCCCGAGCTGAAGTCCCAGCTCCGAACGAGAGGTATGAGAACCATGGAACACAAGCCTGAGAAGGGTCCAAGGTCCATTTTCTCCAACTTTCAGTTCTTTGGACTGAAAAAGGCCTCTTGGCACTTCGGAGAGACACAATAAGAACCAGCTGACAGCCCGCCGCCACCCCCCCCAACCAGGGCAATTCCCAGCAGCCCTGTGTGTGGGGCAGAGAACAAGAGCCCTGAGCAGGGGCTGGTCCTGCTCCCCAAACCCAGCCCACCAGGGCCTCAGCCCCAGATTCTGGCACAGCAGGAGAGATGGAGAGATCGAATGACCCACCACAGAAGCTGGCCCGGTGCACAGCCTCCAGGCCCCAGGCTGGGGCACTGCTTCAGAACCACAGGGCCAAGAGGGGCCGGGGCCCAGCTCCCAGCCACCCTGCACACAGGCCCTGGACACCAGCTCGCTCTTACAGGCAGCAGCTCCAAGCATCTGAGGACCTGCCTCCTCTCAAAGAAACCACCAGAATGTGGAACAAAATTTACAGCTTCAGAGTGGGGGAGAAACCCATTCTGTGACCATGACCTCAACTCCCAACTAAGAGGGTTGAAGGCATGCTGCGCCACCCCGGCTCCCTCCCCTCAGTGACCAGCCGCAGAAAAGAGGGGGCCCGGCCAGCTGTCTGTGCTGTGTGTGTGTCAGTCTGGGGGGGCCACAAGGACTGAAGGGGGACTGGGAGGTGAGCAGGAAAAGGGAGATTTTTTTGTGCAGTGGAAGAAGGTTGAGGAACCAAGGTCTGTGGGAACAGAGCTCCAGGCCACATCCAGGCTCCCCGGCCTGGGGCAGAGCAAGTGGGGAGCAGCAGCTGGGGGTGGCCCCTGCGGGGAGCAGCAGCAGATCTGGGCCAGAGGCAAAGCAGCTGCCACTGTGCTTATGTCATGGAGGAAGTGGTGGGAGTTTATAAGGGGGGCAGGGCCCTGGAATTCCAGAAAGGGTCAAAGGTCAGCCTGCTTCTAGCTGCAAAGGCCACAGACTTGGGGAGGGGGTAGGGCAGAGTTCTTGCCACTCTGCCCTCAGGGAACCCGAACAAGCTGCCCCAGGCCCCAGGAAAGGTGAGGGGCTGGGCTAAGGCAAGAGGCTGCTTGGGGCCAAGGAAGCCAACGCTCCAGGTGACAGCAAAAGGGGAGCCTTGGGCTGGGCCTTCCTCCCAGCTTCTTGTGCCCCGGCCACTGCCACAGCCAGCAGAGGGACACCACAGCCCACCCCGACAGAGAACGGTTTTCCACCTGGAGGCCCTGCTGGGCCTGAGACTCCAGTGGGAGGAGAGGCTCTCCGGGTCCTACCCGGGCCCTCCTGATGGCCCACTGACAGGAGAGTCGGCCCAGGAGAGCCAGGCCCACCAAAGCCAGCCGCCCCCCTCCCCGTCCCCGCAGGGCCCTGAAAGCCTTTGGCCCTTCGGTCCAGAAAGGCCAGGACAGACAGCGTGGAGATGCAGACAGCTGGTTCCAAATCATGAGGCCACCGAACGTGGGGCCTCTGTGACAGATCAGGGGACAAAACCCCCTTCGGCAGCCAACCCTGGCTGGCAGCACTGGCCCTTGCTAACCCTTTCAGATTTCAGGACCAGCAGGCTTCACCACACAGACTGAGAACTGGTCTGGAAAAGCCCTTCCTTGGACCCCTGGGAAAGGAGCGTGTGATCCCGTGGACTCTTGGGGACCCAAGACCACGGGCCACTTGCTCCAGTGACGACCACCACAGACTTGGTGTCCCTAAAGTCACGGAGTCCCAGGGCTGTCCTACAAAGGAGTCTGGCCGCCACACTGTGCCCAGCAAGGCCGCAGGCTCACAGTGCGCCTGCGTGCACCCGGAGCCAGACTTCCCCGTGTTCAGGAAGGGCGCTTCCTTTTCTGCTCCTGCTCCCTCTACCTGGTCCGGATCTGCAGGCGGTGCTGGTCCCTGTCCTTGTGCTCCGCATCCGCAGAAACACTGACAACTGCCACAAAGACTGTCCTCACTGCACTATCACCATTTTGAATCAACCCAGAGTTCATTTGCCTGCGAAGGAGCAGGTGCAGAGGGCAGCAGGGTCTCCTGTTCTGCCCTTAGGGGCCCAGGTCAAGGTACCTTTAGTTACTCAAGTCAAAACTGAGGAAGGACAGCACCTGAAGACCCCATATAGGAAAAGCACCGAGTCCTGCCTGTGGTACAGGGGAGGGGGTGCTGGAGGTGGGTAAAGGCCCTTCACCCCTCCCAGTGCACTGTGCATCCCCCCTGCAGTGGGGAGGGCTCCACAGGGTGCCAGAGCTCCCCAGCAGCAGCCACTGAGAGCGATGCGGGGGTGTCAGGAACAACAGGACACCAGAGGGCAGTGACCCGGTGCACGCCGCGCAGGAGTGCCAGAGGAAAGGGCTGTTGGCTGCCCGGAAGGAGCCTGCGCAGCCCAGCGAAAGAACACTCCTCTCAGATTAGAGAGGTATGTGGGCTGGGACCTCAACACAGGATGTGAGGTCCAGAGGAAAAGGCCTGGAGGGGGAGGGGCAGAAGGGAAAGAGAGGGCCAGCCCGGCCAGGCCCAGCACCATTAACCCCTTCAGGGCCACGCGGAGCGAGCGAGGGCCATCAGAAGCACTCGTACCGCCCAACCACACCACCCCGCCAACCCCAGTTCCACACCCAACCGGTTCCCCAGTCCACCCCTCTTGCTCCTGGCCTCTGTGGGGGGGAACCTGAGAAGCCCAGGTACAATACGGTTGACCTGGAGACCCTTCACTCCAGGGGAGACGGAGGGCCAAGGGCCAGGAGATGGGCCCCACAGACATCTGAGACCCCAGTCTGAGGCAAAAAGAGGAGACTTTGGGGACCCATTGTTCCAGGTGAGGGACTTCATTCACATCCAGGCCCCTTCCTGGCCAAGGTCAAGAAGTCCAGACTGGTCTGCCCAAGATGTGGAAGGAGCTCGTGGAAAGGACAGGGTGGAAAGAAAAGGTCTCCTCCCTACCTGCCAGGGAAAAGCTACCTCCTTGGCTGGGAGAAGGGTGCTAAGGAGAACAAGGAGGGCAGGGGGCAGCCACCTCTCAGCAGGGGGCACTCCAGAAACACTGACTGGAGGGAGGAGGAGGACCACCTTTAGTGGTCATTCAAAAATGCCAGCTCCCACCTGTCCAGGGATCAGACACCAAAGTTTGAGAAGCACCGCTTTGGAAAATGCCTCCAAAGGATAAAACCCTTCCCCAAGCATATCTGCATTTTTGCACCCCCACAAGGTGGCAGAGCGGCCAGGGACCTCTGCCACCTCTGCCGCTTGACACATGGGAAGGAGGTCCCTTTCTGCCCCAGGCAGCAGCAGGACCTCGCCTCCCTCCAATCGCAGAGCTGGGCCTCAGTCCAGGGCATCTGACAGCCCGTCCCACAGACGGAGATTCTGAGGCCTCAGGGGTCAGAGGGGCTGGCCCAAGATTCAGAGCAAAACAGCAACATGGGGTGGAAGATCAGCAGCCCCAGGGCTGAGGGCCCCAGCCAGCCCCAGCTCACCTCGGCCTTGTACATGCGGATGAGACCCTGGTTCACTTTGGACCAGGTGGGGACCGCACTGATGTTCCACAGCTGGTTGGAGTGCTCTGCAAAGGGGCCCGTCTTCATCTGGAAAAGAGAGTCCACAGCTGGAAAAGCAGGCCACCGGGGAGCCCTCGCTCTGCTCCCTGCGTCAAGGTCAAGCGTGCACGCACGTACACAGGCACACAACGATACACGCACGTACACCCAAATACCAGAGACAAGGTCCCTCTTGGCTTGCAAGACCCACTGGGAAAACATAACCCATAGTCACCCTCTTTTTCCACAGACAAAAAAGGGTGTGTGTGACTCCTACCTTCCAAATCTAGCAGCCTCAGAAAAAAATAGTCTTTGCCCAAGTCCTAGTGCAGCTCCCACCAACCACCAAAGCCAAGGGCGCCCTGACAACATGGGAACAGCTCCCACTCAGATGAACAGCGGCAGCGGCCTGGACCCCAACTCTCTCAGCTCAGCCCCACACACAGGGTGGGCTCTGCCACAAGACACTTGGTCTGCACCCGCCACTGGCAGAGCTGAAGAGCTGAGGGCGAGGCCAGTTTGGAGGTGGGCCCAACTGCAGGCGCACTGGGGGCACCTGCAGCAGATTTGGGAGGAAGGTCTGTTCAGAAAGCCCCTGACCTGGCCAGAAGTGTAAAAGGGATGGTAACCACACCGGCAGGGGACAGGCAGGCACAAGGACAGCTCTGTTCCTGATCACTCTCTGGCCAAAAACCTGGCCTCTGGGCGGGAAAAAATTCTGCAGCGAGCCCAGCGGGGTCCCCATGACATCAGCAGCTACAGCGCCCAGACAGGGAAGTCTGCGTGCCTGACTGGGCCCCTCCGACGGCCCAGGGCCAGCAGGTTGGCATTTAACAAGCAGGCCCCAGTCCCTCCACCCCTCCCGGGCTGATATGCAGCACTGATGCCAGGAGGACACAGTTCAGCACCCTGAGCCCCAGGCTTCGGAAGAGTTGGAAAGGCAAAATTAGCTAACTGGCAAGGAAGCACAGACTTGGACCCTGAGACTGTGGAAGGTTCCAGAACATGCTGTTCATAGAGGCGAGGCTGAGAGAGAGCTCCTCCCGGGAGAAAGGAGGGTCCGAAGCCCTTTCTGCATATTGGGCATCACAAAATAAAGGCCCAGGAGCACATTACTACCACAGTCACCCCGTAGCTGCCCCTCAGCTGTGGCCTCTGCCAGGTGGCCCATTCCGCAGATGTTCCCACTTCTTCAAGAGGGGCGGTTCTTCAAACGCTGCCCTTTTACCAGTCATCTCCTTCTGGCTCAAGTCCCCCCAGGACCTGTCAACCCCCAGGTTCAGTACAACAGGCTCCCTTCCTCGTGCAGTTGAGGCCACGGCCCAGGGCGCTAGAAAGAGACAAACCCACCCTGGTGCTCACAGGGCTTCTCCTGGGCCAGTCCCTTCACCCAGAATCTCTCCCCTCCTCTATCTAAGGTTCCCTTTTCCAGGAGGGCAGCCAGGCACCCCAGCCTGCAGGCGCCTGGCCTCCCTGGGGCTCCCTTCCAAGAGTCCCACTCAAGCAGGCTCCACCTCCAACCTCCAACCCTCCCCCTCACCCCGCCCTAGGAGACAGGGGCCTGGCTCTAGCCTTCTCTCACTTGCTTCCAGGCCCTGAGCTCAGGAGCCAGGGAGCTTGTATGACCAGCTTCCTTTGGTCGGGGCCCGGGAGCACACCACTCAGGAAGATCCCGCTGGCTTCCCCCCACTGCAGCAGCTCCAGGGGCCTGCTCAGCGAGGGCGCCGGAGGATGCTGGGAAGCCTCGCCCACTAAGGGCCTGGGAGAGGAACCCCAAAAGGTCTCTCTGCACTGCTGACAGAGCCAGGGGGTGGCCTGACCTCCAGAGCCCCAGTGGCCCTGCCCCCACCTGTGAAAAAGCCAGAGATGCTCTTTCTCTAGGGGAGCTGCCCCCTCCCATCCCCAGGCCTTCAGTGTCCCAAGGTCTCCCCAAGTTGCAAAGGAGACTGCAACTCTGGGAAAGGGAAACAGATGAGGGGGAAAGGAATGGGCACGAGAAGACAAAAAAAAAAAAAACAAAACCGAGCTCACTCTAGCCACAAAGGGAGAAGAGAAAGCTCGAGAACCAGCGAGCGAGCTGCAGTCCCGCAGTGACCCCAGGGGAATCGTGTGAGTCAGAGCAGCCATGTTGAGCAGGAAATTACTCACAGACGCTGCGTTCCTGCCTCTCCACTCCCAGGAGAATCGGCCTTTTGTAAATGGTTCCTCTGTCAGTAACTGAGGGGGATGGGGAGGGGGTGGGGGAGGCTCTGTACAGCGCCTTCCTGTCAGCTCCTTCCCTTCCAGCTGAAATCTGATCCCTCCCTTCCCAAAACTCCAAATTTAGAAGCCAGATTGAAACTGAAATTCTTTTCCTGCCTGCCTTGGGCTCTTAAAGGCGCCAGGGCTGCATTTCCTGCGGCAAGAGAAGCTCTTCAAAGTGGGTCCCTCTTCTGGGAGGCCCATGGCTACCAGGACAAGTCCCAGGCTGGTTCCCCAGCCCCGCAAGAGACCAGGCAGGAGGAGAAGCTCAGTTCCATTTCCAGCTTGTTCTGCTTCACCCAGCTGCCCCAGCCCTAGTGATTCCCAGGGCTACAGAGGGAGCCCCGCCCCCTTCCGGGACACAGCACGCAGAACTGCACCCCCGTCTCCGGGCCTGCCAGCCCGTGTCCAGCCCTGGGCCTCCCTTTGTTGGAGTGGGCCAGGCCAGGGCACCCACTCTCCACCAGGAGCTGCAGATCACTGGTCTCAGGAGGAAGGGGACAGGGGTCGGGGGTACCCTAGACACTGCAATCAGCAGCCAGGTCAGGTGGGTAGAAAGGGGCCCTCACTACGGTCACCTTAGCTTTGACATACACCCCTCCTAGTGACAAATAGTTCCCACCATTCACAAACACCTACACCCAAAGAGAAAAGCCGGCCTTGCAGAGAGGGTGTGAAGCTACTGAGAAGTGTAGGGCCTGACCCCCATTAAATGGCAACCAAAACCTTCTCCACGTTCAACGTGCCTTTAGTGCCACCTAGTGGGCACTGTGGGATTTTTTTTCTCTAGCAGAGGAACTGGATTCCAAACTTTGGGAAAGCTTTTGGGTTTTTTATACTAGCATAATCAACAAAACGAACAAAAATATAAAGTTTTAACCAGGAGCCGACTCCCATATTCCCTGAGGCCGGACATGGCCCTCCTCCTTGCTAGTTACAGGGACCCAGGCAACTGGCCTGCCACCAGGGGGAGCCAGACAATTCAGCCTTTTACCCTCCAAGGGAGCCAAGCCACAGCTCAGCATAACACGTGCACCCCTTCACCCCTCCCGGCTCCTCCAGCTCCTCCTGGGGTTCCCCAGGGCTCCACAGACCCCTGCATTCCACTCTGGAGTGAGCAGCAGGACTGGCTTTTACAGTGGTGAGCCAGGCTGCCCCGGAGTCCTTCCGACCTTGGGCCCACCACACTGCTGAAGGCAGCAGATCTCTGCAAATGAAGTGGTGACCGCCCACCCATCAGTCCCGAGTCCATTTGCTGACTTGGAAAAAAAACATGTCATTCCCCTCTGGCCTCTGGAGTCTGGCAGAAGCCTGAGCCGAATGCTGACCAGGAGGAGCCTGGAGCTACAGCTGCTTAACCAGGCTCCCCCGCTCTCCCCCCATCTTCAGCGGACTCAGAACAGGCAGGCAGCCAGCCGCCCCCACAGGCAGGGGTGCACGGTGTGCCAGGGACGACACAGGAGCCAGCAGACATGCATGTGAGCATCAGGAAAAAAAACAGGGAACCCTCTCCAGACAGACCAGAGCACCCTCTGGAAGTTTGCAGGGGACAGGTACTAGGCAGGAAGGATAAAAGGCCACCTCCTGGCAGAAAAGCCCTGAGAGCGATGGGTCCCTGACCTTCACATGCAGTCACCTGAAACAGGTGACTAAGGAGAGGTTTCTGGCTCCCCACACCCAAGATGCTGATTCAGAAAGCTGGTGTGGGGCCAAGGAATGTACACTTTAACAAGCTCCCCAGATGACCTTGAGGAAGTGGTCCAAGGCTGCACCGTGGGAGACTCAGTTAAATGACTGATGCTGGGTGGGCCGGGGTCCCCTCGCCTGGACCATGTCCTCAGGCCCTGATGAAAGCGTGTCTCCGCAGAGAAATCTGTCCTGCAGAGCTCCGCAGGCCGGGTGGCAGCCCCGCCTGCAGGATGCTGAGCCTGCCCACCCTGCAGACCTGATGCATCAGTCACAGGCCTGCTCATGAGTGGGCCCAGTCCCTCAGCCCCGGTAGGAAGCCCACACCACCGGTTTGCAGAAGGAGATCCTAGGTGATCAGAGGCTGACTCAACCTTTCAGGGAGGCCTGGTGGGGCTTCCCCTTCACTAACCCACCTCCCGGGACCAGCTCTGCCATCTCTGGGCAGCAGCTCTGGCCCCTCTGTCCAAAGCCTCAGCTCTCTCAGCCTGGGGCAGCCCCGGGTTCGCCCTCAACCCCTCACCTCGGTGATGAACAGGATGCACTCCAGAAACATGTAGTCCTTGTGGTTCTCATTCACGGCCTTCTCGTCCACGAAGTGCCTGGGCTCCAGATATGGGTGATCTGGGAACAACGGAGAGCCGAGCTCAGGGCTGGTACTCACACCACCGGGCGCCTCGGCCCGCTGGGCCCACACCCACCCAGGGCCGCAGTCCTGCCTGTGCACCCTGAACACCGGATCTCACAGGAGCAACAAAGAGCCTCGTGCATGTGCATATTCTAGCGTGACAGCCTTCGACTGAGTCCCGCATCTCTGCGGTGGGGTAAGAGCAACACCCACCTTGCAGGGCTGCTGAGAACCAACTGACAATCATGAGCATGGACAGGCACCCGGCACAGCGCTTTCCCAGTTAGGAGATGGTTCCAGGGTCACTGAGAAGCTTCAGGGAGGTAGCCCACCCAACGCACTTAGAGCAGTGCTCGGCACAGAGCACGCATTCGACAGGGGTCCCTTGTTAACGTTACCGTGTGGTCAGGCACACCTGTCGGAGCAGACACTATCCCTCGCTCGTGTTGGCTTGCTCATGGGAAAGTGGGCCCACTCTAGCAAGCAGCCCACTGCCCAGCACTTGGTGACAGCTCCTGGATGGGCCCCTTGCACATGACTCTATAGTGATAGTAGATGATGGTGGTCACTGAGTCAAAGAGCCACTGATTTTCAGCATAAAACCCCACAAGCTTCTGCCAGGAGTTGGGGTGTATCTCACACCAGTCCACCGTGTGTCAGGGGAGAGCCTTCTCACTTGCCATCATCTTGGAGGGCCCCCGCCTCTGCCCTTAGCCAATCTAGTCCCTGCTTCACCAGCTGTTATTGTCTGGGCAGGAGGAGGAGGAAGGAGGCACAGGGACGGAGGAGGCCCGGGAGCAGGCACACAGAACACACCCTGCGGGGTGGAGAGGTGCATGCCCCACTTCAGTACCTATCAGCTGCGAGCTGCCCCAGATGAAGGGCAGAAACTGGAAGTCGTCTAGGCCCCACACTCCCTGGCTGCCTGCGGGCTCCATCCTGTACGTTTTCTGAAGTTTCCGCATCACCTCAAGGTACCTGCACAGGAGGGTGGAGAGGAGAAGGGAGGTAGCAAAGTAAAAGGTCAGCCTCGACCCTTCTGCCACTGGGAGCCCAGGGAGGCTGGAAATAACCACCTAAGAGCATCGCTGGTCTGTTTCGTCGAAGACCCATGGCACCAGTCAAGTCAGCTGACGCCCTCCGAACAATGCTGCTGCCCCCCCTACTCAGTCTTCCCTCTGCCCAGGAATGGGGCCGAACGCCTCCCGGGAAGGGGCATCGGCACCATCGGCCCCGACCACGTAAGACCCTGGGCAGGAGCCTCAGCCTCCCTGCCTTGGGCTTGCCAATATCATGGAGGGCTGCATCCCAGCCGCCACTGAGCCCCTGCCTGGTGGCACTGCCGGGTGGGGCCCAGAATGGGCACTGTCAATGCGCTGGTGGCAGGAACACAGGTGGTTTGGGTGGTGAGGGGTGCAGGTCAGAACCTGACTACCAGGGTTCACCGGGCTGTGTGACCTCAGTGAGCAGACCCCATGTCTCTGCCTCAGCATCCCCATCTATAAAATGGAAACGACAGTTGCTACTTCCTAGGGTTCTGCTGGGAACTGGTCACTTGCTGCTACCAGGACACGTTCTGAGAAACGTGTGGTTGCTGTGTCGTGTGTGGACGTCACAGAGCGTGCTCGGAGGAGCCTGCATGCAAGTTGTGGGCACAGTGCTGCACCAGGCCTCCACTTGGTGAACACCACGGAGGCATCGGCAGTCGTTACGTAACATTTCCTTCACCTGTTAGGCCTCGAACCTGAAGCTGTCAGACGCGCTCCTGGAGAGCCCATCCACAGCCAGAGCCTGATTAGGCCTGGACAAGAGCGCCCTGTCCCCAGCCTGACAGGCACAAAGAAAGAGACCCCACCCCTCCACCCTGACTCACCGATTGAACACCTTAAAGACGATAGCTATCTGGTCATCCACCCGGAGCACCCCGATCTTGCAGAGACAGCAGAGGAAGGCAGCGAAGGCAGCTTCGTGTCCTGGGGAGTGACACAGCCAAGGCTGACGGTCTTCCGGAAAAGGAGTGGGGCTGTTCTTGGCCTCCCCGGGGTCCAAGTCACTGACCCCTGCCCTCCAAGGAGGGGGTAGCACAGGGACCATGGGGACTGCGCCCTCCCCAGAAAAACCTCGGCCCTTTTAAGAGCCACCAGCACTATAATTCTAATCCTACCAGGACCGTAAGCAGGCACGAACGTTTTATTCTGTAGGTCTGACCCACCAAGCCCACCCTGTTCACTGAGCACCTCCTACAGGGCAGTCGCTGTCTGTGTCAGGCCCCAGAGAGACGGCCCCAGGGAGATGGCCCCTGCCCATGTTTGAGAGTTTGGGACAGACATTAATACGTAATCACATCTAGGGTTCCAGCTCTGCAGGAGGCTGGGGTGATAACTGCAGGGTGTCACAGGGGCGTCCTGACATACGGGCTCAAGAAGGGTTCCCTTAGGAAATAATATTTAATCTGGAACCTGAAATATGAATAAGAACCAGCAAGGCACATGGGCGAGGAAAGCAGGAGAAACGGCACGTGCAAAGGCCCTGAGGCCAGGGAAACGCGCGGTCCAGAGAGCCCTGAGCCGGCACGGCTGCGGCAGAGCACAAGGGAGGGGGTGGGACGAGACGTGGCTGACTGGGATCTGACTGGCCACAAGGGCCACAGGAAAGAGCTCAGCCTTTGTCCTTAGAACAGCAGGGACCACTGAAGGCTTCTCGGCAGGCCACGTTCTAAGCGTGGTCACATCACAGGGTGAAGGTCCCTTCTGCCTTCCCCAGGCATGTCAGATAGGAGTGGTCAGCTGCACAGAAAACACTGGCTGGACTTTGGACTGAGTCCATGGTTCAGTGTCATAGAGGGAGGGACGCGGAGAATGTTCTCAGTGACATCCTGACCAACCTCTGCAGAAGGTCGGTCCCTCCAGGGGCCTGGAAAGCTGGTGACCTGTTACTGTCCCTGCACAATTCCCATCATGACCAGACAGAACCCAGGCCACCCTCATTCAGGGGTAATCATCACTCTCACATACCTGAGAGCAACTGAGGGAGGAAAAACCCACCCCCGCTAACCCGACCGCTCTCCTGTCTGGGGTCTTTCCGTTAGTATTCGTCAAAGCCCACCCATGGAAGCATCAAAGCACTTGGTAAACCTGTTCCCTAGCAACGGGGGGAGCTAACACAAGGCTTTCCCAGGCCCCAGGTCCAAGGGGGCCTCCTCCTGGCCTGCCTCTGTAGCCTAGGCTCCTCTTGAGGATCCCAAAACCCAGGCAAGGAGAGGGCCCAACGGAGCGGCGGCTCTCACATTTGCCTGCTTCGGGGCAGGAGGAAGAGGAAGAGAGGGACTTCCAAAACAAGGACCCCTCCTCAACCACCCCCTGACCCAGAGAACACCCCCTTGTCATGGTGCCTGTGTCTCCCTTGCTGTGAGAGTTCAAGAACACAGGGAGTGTGGCCGAGAGCAAAGGGCACAGAGTGAGGGTGGCCATAATGCTGCCAGAGGCCATCAAGCTCTTTCGTTTCTTGAGGCTTCTGTGAGCAGTTGCCTTGAGATATAGAGTAAGTACTCAGTAAATCATTTCGGTGGCTACGATAAGCTCAGACCATCTATGGAGAGAACAGGAATCAGCGCTGCTCATGTGGCAGCATGCAGGGCATCGGCTCCCCCTGGTGGACGAGGCCAGAGCCGCAGGAGCAGCCCCAAGGCTCCCTGTACTCAGCAGCACTGCTCCCCGGCCGGCCCACACAGGCTGCTGGCTCAGGGCTCCCTCAGAGACAACCTGGAAGCAATAGGAAGCAGCCCAAGAGGACACAGTGAAACCAAGAGCGTTCCGGGAATGGCAGGTACCTGTGCCATAGTCGATGCGCGTGGAGTTCCCCACTGACTCCTTCAGGTAAACAGCCACCTCAGGCACAGCAGCTGCCAGATGGGTGGGGACCACTGTACCCACCAAGTTTTCTGCTTCCTGATAACACAAGAGACACAAAGTGGTGGCAGCAGATTATGCAGCATCCTGGTAGGCGAGCGCCCAGCAGAGGCATCTGGCTGGGGCCCAGACGGCTGGCCAGGCGGCCCGGCTCCCTGCTGGGACAGGTCACAGAAGGAAGAGGAGGGAAGGCATTTATTCTCACACAACAGAGACCACCTGGGGTGGCTCTTCATATGCTGACCCTTCCTCGGGGCAACAAGGTTCCAGGGGCAAGACAGCAGGGACCTGAAGCCATCCACTGTCCCACCTGGTAACTCACTGACACCCCCACCGATGCCGTCCTTCACACTACCAGCAGGAGTTTGTGCCACGTGTCCACGGAAAGACACACATGAGGAGGTCCACAGCAGCGCAATTTACAGCAGCCAAAAAGTGGAAACAACCCACAACTGAAACGCCCGTCAACGGCAGAATGGATGGACTATGCCATGTCCCCGCAGTGAAATATTACACAGCGCTGAAAAAGCCACTGCTATGCACAACCACGTGGACAAACCACACAGACATAACACTGAGTAAAAGAAGCCAGACGTTTATATGAAGTTCACAAAAAAGGCAAAATCTATCTATGGGATAGAAATCAAGAGCTGGGGAGACATCAACCAGGAGAGTGCACAAGAGTCCTGCTTAAGTGCTGGAATGTTTTACAGCTTATTACGGGTGGTGGATACAAGAGTAAAAACACATTAAGCTGTACAGCTATAATATGTCACCTTTAAATTGTTACTCAATAAAAACCTTTTGGAAAAACAACTCGAGTCCATGTGCCATCTTAGGAGCCATAGGTGGCCCAGGCCACACTTAGGGAAAGAAAGCATTTTGCTGGGTGCCTGAACTCCCCTCCACTCCATGCGGTAACACGAGGCCGGAGAAGTGAGGGCCCGCCACACTAAGTCTGGCCTAAGGACATGTGGCCCGGGGCTCTCTGGGAGACCTGGTAAAAATCGGGATGCGCAGACTCCGCTCTGGGCCTATGGACTCTGCTTTTCTAAGGATGGGGCTGTGATCCTGCATTTTGTTTCCTTGTCTGCTTTGCCTTAACTAGGTACAGCTTTCATGTGATTCAGAAATAAACACATCACAAAAGGGATGCACTGAGAAGTCCCACCCCACCCACCCTCCTCCTCCCCACCCTCAATAAGAAACCGCAGCTTTATCTGCCTTTCTTGTAACCCTCCACTGGTGTTTCTCTATGCAAATTTGGCAAACATATCTTTTTATTTCTCCCTCTTTTTAACCAAAAGGCAGCTTGCAACATGTATCGCAGCTGCTTTTCAACCTGACAGTAAATCGCAGAGCCCCTTCCTGGAGTCCCCTGCTTGGACTCCTTAATCCTCCTCACAGCTGCAGAATGCTCACTCCGGGAAGACCCCAGTACTCTAACTGATCCCCTGCAGACGGACACCTGGGGTGTTTGAATGGGTTGCTAATACACACTGTGCAGAGGACTCTACACCCACATGGCGATTCCCAAAAGACAGCTAAACGCGTTAGTATTTTTGGTAAATGGAGCTGCCATTTGAACAAGCGCCCAGCGCCTCTGACATGCCTGCAAGCTGCCTACAGCCCAGCTCCCTGGCCTGTCTGGGGCAGCCTCACCTCGTCGAGTCTGGCATACCAGGTCCGGTAGGCCTTGTTCCCAAAGCGAGACGGCTGGTCCACTGGAGGAGTCTCGTCAATCCACCTGTCCAGCGTGTTCAGAAGAGCAACCAGTTTCTCAATGGCCTGCGGGGGCAAAATAGAGGTGGCCAAGCCAGAATGACCAGTGCCTCAAACCAGAGCCACAGAGGGCCCAACTGTCGCTAGACAATGACCCCGAGGTGTGGTGCTAACTGGCATCCCCCTTTCTTCCCAACCGTCCTGAATGGGAAAAAGCCAGGGGGGCGCGGTGTGCTCTACAGGAAGGGACCAGCCCTGGGCTGAAGGGACGAGTGTGGCTTTGGCAGCGGGGCCCTCTCACTTGCTCATCTGGAGAAGCGGGACGAGCACAAACAGCAGCCCGGACCTCCTTCGGAGGGATGGGGGGGGCCTCTGTTTGGCACACAATGCCTCCTCACCATGGAGAACAGGCGGGTGCAACACGGGACACGAAAACGGCTGGTGACCCTGCCACCCAGAAGTAAACGCTACTGCATTTTAACCTGCTCTTCAGCTTCGTCTTTTTCTAGTCCTTTCTATTGCTCTCCATGGTAACAATTTTGAAGGCGGCTACATCTGGACTCAAACCCCAGCTAAAACATCATTTAGTTGCTGCAAGACCCTAGGCCAGTGACTTTACCTCTCTGTGCCCACTTCTTCACCTCAAAAAGCGCAGATGAGAAGCGCCTCGAGGCTCCATGAGGACTAAATAACCACCCAGGATGGGCGCCTAGCGCAGTGCCCGGCACAGGGTGACGGGTCACGGGCACACGCTGCTTTGCAGGCTGCTGTCTCCTCATGAAGCTCGTTGCACACCAACAGGTAAACATCATTCTACAACAGCCTCCAACAGGCGACTAGGATTGCACTGTTCCCGTGGACCGCACGCTTCCCAAATCCTGTTACACATTTGGGTCATTCCCAGCTGTTTGCGCCCACAAACCACACTTCCGAAAACTACCTGGCGGCTCGTGCTCTGAGGCAATGCTGGGCCAGAGGCACAGATGGGAGGGGCACTCTGCGGGGCCGCCGGTGTCCGCCATCCCGACCTGCCCCACAGGAGGTGGGGACGAGTGGAATCAGTGTCACAGGCCAGGGCAACATCGGCACACGAAACGCTGCTCAGTGAGGAGAACAGGTGGGGCGTCTAAACCGCAGGTCTGCGAGGACGCAAGAGGAGTGCCCCCCAGATGTGGCTCACAGAGAGGGGCCCATGAGGACACCGGAAGGCTCGGGAGGGCCTGGTGCACAGGACACTCAAAGGCAGGGGGCCCTGGGAGGAGGGGCCCTGCCAAGAGATGGATCAGGCCTGTGTCTACCAGGCACAGCTGGTGTAAGGGGAGCATCCAGGAGCCCCTGGCACTGGCAGGGACTAGCAGGGTGGTGCCCACAGAAGTGGTGACAGAGAGCGCAAGGAACGGTCATGGGCCACGCACAGCTGCTTCCCAAGAGCTAAGCAGGTCCCTGGGGCAGCGGGGAGGTGGTCTCAAGCTAATGGTGCGCATGTAGGCCAGTGCCCTCACTGCACAGCTCCAGGAGGCACGAGTCACACCGCTGTCCCGTGAGCGGTGCCTCCTGCCACTGTGTGGCATGACAATGGCCTCTCCTCCCATCCCCTACGCTTGGGGCCTGGGAGGAGGGAAAAAAATCCCTGTAGAGGAGAAAGCTCCTTTAGATTTGGCTGAAGCAGAGGGTCAGGGTGACATAAACATGTCTTGCTGAAATGTGACAGAAATGACGCCAGAGCCTGGCTCTCTGAAGAACCAGGTCACCAGGGACACTGATGAGGACAGAGCAGACCTGCCCCCATAGAGCAGCTGGGACGTAGGAGGATGGTGCAATAATCCTGGGCCCAAGAAGCACCAGTAAGGCCGTCTAGAGATGTCAGTCTTTGGTGACAACAAGATCAAGGTGGCACTCCCAGCCGCAGTGGCCAGGCCCCAGCTGCTAGCTCAGCAGGGCCGATGAATAATTAAAAGGCTCCTAGCAATTCGTTTTGCACAGGGATTTTCAAATTGGGGGTTGGGGGCAGCCTCTGTTGTCTTGGCTAGTCAGGGGAGAGGAGTTAGAAAAGAGGGAACCGTGGGCTGGGGCCTGAAAGCACACAGAACACCTTGACCTACACTCCTTCTCCAGAGTCCAGTGCTTCCTTTTTGGATTTCAGGAACAAGTAAAATCTTGGAGGAAATTTTTTATTTTGCCTCCATTTTTAAAATAAAAGAGAACAACAACAAAAAATAAGCCTCCTATCTACTATCATCTTTATTCTGCAAAAATTAAAAACTCTAACCCCCAAAGAGAAGGACAGACATAATCTCAAAACGAAGGAGAGCCTTCTAAACGTATGCCTAGGAGGCCCCCCGGCCCCCCGCCGCCCTTTGTGATGGGCAGTCTGGGTGCCGCCACCCGAGGCCGCTGTGCCCTCTCCCCAGCCGCAGGTGCCACGCCTGCAGCAGGAGACCCACACTGCCCCAAGCAGGAGACAGCCCGGTAGGCCATGTGCTGCGAGCCATGCCCACTGCTGCCCCTGCCAGAGTGGGCAGAAACTGAGAGACCTAGTCCCCCCTGTGCCCTGAGAAAGGAGCATCCCACTGGCCCAGGGCCAGGACGAACCCCAGCTCTGGAGGAGCCTGGGCCGAAGCAACAACACTGCGGAAACTGGACCTGCAGAGCAGCTCATCTCACCCGTCGCCAGTAGTGCTGGCCGGTCATCTGGTGCACGCCAGGCACGGTGCAAAGACACCCGACACGTGGGACCTAGCAAATCCTCCCTATTCCCACTCTACAGGAGGGCCACAGGGGACAAGGCCACTCAGGTCAGAAGTGAGAGGCCACCAAAACCCAGTCACCTGACGCCAGAACCCAAGCACTTAACCACGCCTCGACCCTGCCCACAGAAGAGCCCTGGCACTGAAGCACACCCTCCGGGACCTGGCAGCGCAGAACCTGCTGGGTAGTGACGACACCCCCTTTCACCAGCCTTCCCCACCACACTCCCCAGCCCACCGAGCACAGCTGAGCATCCCTTGCCACAGGCTCAAGGAGGAACCCTTCCTCCCACCGCCTGTACTCATGGCCAAGCCCCAGAGCATGGGGTGGGTCTGACAGGAACTCAGGGAGTCATTGGTGGACCAGCTCCCAAGAGAAGACTGGCAATCCCCTGCACAAGCCTGGCTCCCCACAAGTGACAGAAGAGGACCTCGGCCACCCACCGACCAGTCAGGGCTTGGGAATATGCAGGCTGATGGGGCAACACGAGCCTCAGGACGGTGGGGAGACTCTGGGCAAGGGCAGAGCCAGGCCTTACCCAACAGGCCAAGGCTCTGGCTAGAGCACCGGTGAGACAAGGCGTGGAGAGAGGCTCTCAGGCCCTGGCGTCTCAGATAAGAGGCTCAAGGTGGTTCTGGACCAACTGGGACAGGAATCCAAAAGGCCACTGGAGGCCTGGGACCCAGCCTGGGAACCGGCGCAGGACCACACCTTCCCGCGGGTATCAGGCTCCCGCAGACGGCTCCGCCCTCCCTGCACAGGCAGGCCTGTCTCTGAAACAGAGCCGAAGAGCACCCACCGAGCAGTGAGCCCTCAACTCAGCATTCCCACCTCCAGGGATGGACCCTTCGGGCGCAGCGCCCGCAGATCAAGGTGCAGGGACACTCAGGGCAGCAGTGTTTAGGGCAACAGCCTGACAGTCTAGTTAGGGGGCTATTTAAACGAACGAGGGCTGGCTCCGGGAGGCAGCCACTCACAGGGCAGGAGAGCAGGGGCTCGCAGGGCGGGTTGGGGGGCTCGCCCCACACCGCTAATGTCGGGGACACGGGGGAGCAGAGCGAGAGGGCAGCTTTTCTGCTAACGTTACACACGTTTCCACCAGTGGTCTCTGCAGTGAGCATTCTTTTATGACCTTCTTTTGTGATCTCTTTCGTTGTAAAAACATAAATAAAGACGTCAATTAGCAAAAATGTATGCCATTTATACGCTATAAATTGGCATATTTACCTGGACCACAATTTTCTATTCACAGGTTTAAAAAAAGAGACTAGAAATATAGGCACCAAAATGTCACATGTGTTTGGCTGATCTTATGTCTTCCCTCTGCAGTGGCCCTGCTGTGGGCAATGAGCCCATGTGACTTGGAGCTCCTTCCGGACAGGCCCCTCCCAGCAGGCTCCGCGCCCGGCCTACCTCAGAGACTTTGTACTCCAGGGTCAGCTTCTTCCCCTTCACGCCTTCGTTGAGGGTGAGGATGAATCCGATGTAGTCGGCATATGCCTATCAAATGGGGGGAGGATAAGGGGGCGTGGAAAGGGCAGTCAGACCCCCGCTCTTTACACCCAGCCAGCCCTCGGCTCCACCCAGTCACCAAATCACTCCAAGCCACCCGACTCCCACCCCAGGAGCAGGCGCAGTGGGAGATGACGCCAAGGACTGCACCTCAACCCTCCATCCAACTCAAGGGCAAGCCGTGACACTGGGCCTCCAGCGAGAGCTTGCCGCGTGCTCACTGTCGCTACCTGCGGTCTCTCGGCACAACAGCCCCTGAGACGCTACCCCACAGCCATTCATTCTACTGAGGAGGAGACAACACTGCAGGAGCAGTAACTTGCCCAGAGTCTCCTAGGACCCAGATCTCACCAGATGTGGAGCAGGACCCAGCCAACCACACTCCAAAGCAGGGTGGCCGAGTACACGACCACTGGACTACGTCACTAGGAGTCCAGGGAACCATGAAGGATGCCTCCGCTGATCATCTTCCAGATGATTCCCCACCACACCGGCCAGGCCGTCTGCCTGGGGTGCAGGGGCTGCTCCCGAGTGAAGGAACTGTTTTCTGCCCACGGCCAGGTGGGAACAAGGGTCACACGGCAGGCCCAGTGGGTCACCCCACGGCAACGCTCCCCACGCAGGGCCGGTCTGAGCCCTCCTCCTGTCTACGGCCACTGTCCACAGTCACCCCTGCAAATACACCGGGAGGCAAGAGGGGAAGCAGCACAAGGCAGCATCACCCTCCATGGTCCCTGCTTCCACATGGGTCCAGGTCTCTTGGCGACTAAAATTCAGGACACTCTTTCATGAACATGACTGTGTGCAGAGTCTCCACTGATGCCATCACCATCGTCATCGTCATCCTCGTAGCGGTAAAGAGTGCACTGAATGCTCAGTAGGCTCACTACATGCCTGCACCGGGCCGGGTGCCTTTGGGTTTTAAAGCACCGAAGCCCCCAGAGGATCCCATTTTACAGTACAGGGAACCAAGGCTGGGCCGGGTCAGACAACTCGCCTAAGTCACAAGAGGAGAAAACAGTGGCCCCGGGCTTCAAGCCCTGTCCCCTCTGCTCCTAACCCCATGCTCTTGCAGCTGCACTCTGCAGCCTAGTGAGACACTGGGGGCCACCGCAGAGTCCCTTGTCTGGCCACAGCAGGGCCATGCCCTTCACCGCTGAGCTGCAAGGCGCGGCGAAGGCTTCTAGCAGGTATGGTCCCGCACGCACATCAGGAGAGAAAGTGACCAGAGCTTCCCCCAACTGCTGGTGCCCAGGGCACGACCGGCAAACTCTGCCCACGATGGGCCAGACGGTAAGTGCTCAGGCTCCACAGGCCACACAGCCTAGTTCACACGCTCTCGACTCTCACTTTAGATTGCAGAGGCGGCCACGGACAACAGATAAACAAGAGGGAGTGGCTGGGTTCCAGCAACACTGAATTTATGAAAACAGGGACGGCCACCTGAGGCCCGCAGGCAATCCCCGCTGACCTGTGGCCTAGACCAACGCAAGCACAGCGGACTCCTCACGGAAGGCCGGCCCTGCCTGCCAGGACCCCGAGCCTGCCCTCCCTACGGTGACACTCCCCATCGCAGCCGACCAGGCCAGGGGCAGGCGCCTGGCTGGAGCCGGACCCAAGCCCTTCCCTAGGAATTTGAAATTGGCTCTTTTTCCTGGGGCACTCTTTCCACAGCCTGGGGGGGACAAGCTGCTGTCTTCTGCCCACCACGAGGCCTGACAGCACAGAAAGCTGGTCTACCCCCCATGTTCTAGGTCCCGGATCCCTGGTACTTTTAGGCTCAGCCACTTCCCTGGCTGAGGCTTCCACGTGACAACCTCTTCTCCCTTTGATACACTGGGTCCCCAACTTGCTGCTCCCTGTCACCAAGAACCCCAGTGATGCTCTCCATCACTTGGGCTCCTGTGTGCGGCCCGCGCAGCACACTCCAGGGGCGCTGAGCTATGAGGCCAGGAGCACGGGTCTCCAGGGTTGGAGAGCACGGGGCCTATGAGGCCTGCGCATGGGTCTGGCCCCAGTGCCCAGGGCCCCTCCCACTAAAGCATCTCTGAATGCTGCCCCCGATGGGGGAGAGACAGTCATCTCCTCTGTCACCTCCCTCCCTGGCTTCTAAGAGCTCCAAGGGCAAGAAGCGTCGGGCACTCACAGCCCACCACTCCTAGAAAACCACTGTCTTTGACAAAACCCATTTCTCCTCCCAGTTCTGACCCTACCGTGTAGACCCTGCTGGTACCTGAGAGCGCTTCCATTTGCCCATGTCTGGGACCGTGTGGATCTCTTTTTTTGGAATGATAAAGTTCTGGGTGGCTGGAGGGGTATCCTCCGAAGAATCTGGGCAAAGAAAATGAAAAAGCAAACAGATATATAAAATTCCACTCCCCTCGACACACACACACTTTTAAACCAAGCCTCCGACACCTGAGCCCTAGTGCAAACCCGGCTCGGCCTCCCAGGACAGAGTGCTGGCTTCACACCAAGCCCACTGGCCTCCCGCCCCCCCTTCCTCCGCAAGGAGAGTAGGGTTGAGGGGGAAGTGCCAGGAGACTTGGAGACCTAAGGAGTAGGATAGAGAATCTAAGATAAGAGCAAGGCAAAGCTCTGCCTAATTCAGAATTCAAACCGGGGCCTCGGAAAGAGACCAGAAACTCTCTTCCTCCTCCCACCTGTTCCGCAAGCCCTGTTCCCAGAACTCCAAAACTGAGACCCTCTACTGTCAGTAAACTGCTACTTTAAATACGATGCTAAATAAAAAGCTCGGTAGGTCAGGCTGACAACCTAACCACATTGTTTTTACCAGAAAATGTGTTCCACATTCCAAATAATCAACTTGCAAATGTTCTTTGAACACAACCCTTTTGTAAATTGGAGAGAAGCCTTCCCTGCAAGGGGACAGCCCTCCAGCCATTGTGTCACAGAGGAAAACCTCCAGGGCACAGGTCATCCTATAGGTAGCAATGGCAACGAATCTTTGATAAATCCTCCATTAAAAAAAAAAAGCCTTCAAACTCAGGACTGTGATGAATGAAGTCAGACCCGGCCTTTCCAGCATCAGATTCTGCCTCTGACAATGGGGCCACCAGACAACTGGATCCCCTAAAACCTCTCAGTGTAAGACAGAAACATCCCAAGTTTTAGACGTGTTCCTAAAACACCCACAGAGGCCTTGGATGGTGTGGCTCAGTGGACTGAGCCCCAGCCTGCAAACCAAAGGGTTGCCAGTTCCATTCCCACTCAGGGCACATGCCCGGGTTGTGGGCTGGGTCCCCAGTAGGGGGTGTGAGAGAGGCAAACACACATTGTTGTTTCCCTCTCTTTCTCCCGTCCTTCCTTCCCTCTCTCTAAATATAAATAAAATCTTTTCAAAAAACCAGAGAGTATAATGTATTACATGAAGTTGTGTTCAACTTGTACCCCCTTTGGAAATCAGTTCAACTTGTATCAGCTCTCCAAACTGACCGAGCTACCGTGTCCCAGGGGTGGCCCAGGTCACTTTTGCAACACACCAACACACACTACAACTCAGTGATGAAGGTTGACTAGCCCCATTTTAAGAAAGAAAATAACAGGGTAAGAAAGAAAAGAACACGGTCCCAAAGGTTCTTGCCCGGCAGAGCCAGGTCTGCGAGACTCCGAAGTCCAAGGCCACTACCCTGTGTGAGCTGAGTAGTTCCCTCCACTTGTCACAAAAAGTCTTACTTCAGACTTCAAAGAAGGACACACCCACCCACCCAGGGAAGCTGGGCCATAGATACCCTCCAAGCCCTCCTCCCTGTCTGGGCCCAGGCTCTCTGCCTTGAGACCCCCTGCTCCCCACACTCCATCAGAGACACACCTCACTGGGAATCCCAGTGGCCTTCTATCTGCTGATGTCATTACCAGACCGCTAAGGGGACACGCGTTAGAGGGAAGAAGTTTTGTATTTAATGAAATAAACATCTGGTTTTGCCCGCCCAGGGATGACCAAATTTGAGACAGGGTAGAACGAAGAGCCAATGTTTTCATGTTCGTTCTTTCTTTTTAAAAAGGTTTTACTGTTTATGCCAGTACAGTTGTCCCAATTTTCCATCGTCGCCCCCCACGCCAATGCTTTCAAAGCACCGGCTGTTTTGCCAACCTAATTTGCTCCTGACACAATCTTTCTAGTTCTGTAACCCAAGCCGGGAAGGGGGGGGGGGGGGCAGTCAGCAGCCTTCCTGTTCTCCGGGTCATAGGTCTAAGATCCCTTACCTGGCACCTCCACCCCCGGTAGTTGAGAACTACAAACAGGCCACGGTGTAAATAAAAGTTACAAAGGGTGATGCCAGAACCAGACTCTCTCATCTCCTTGCACAACCGGCCTTTTTAAATTAGGGGTTTGGGCGACCAAGGCCAGTTTCTCCCAATTAAGTCTCAACCACCGAAACTGTAGAGGCCGGCCTCCGGAAGCGGGCGGCGGGGTACGAGGGACGCGCCGAGCGCGGAGGTGCAGGGGGGGGGCGGGCAGAGGCCGAGCCTCGCAGAGCGTCCCCCTGCCCGTGCTCAGAGTCTAAAGAAGAAGGCGGCCCCCGTCCTCGGCATCTTTCTCGCCGCATCAAGAGCTGACTCCAGTACGCGCAGCCCAGACGTGGAACAGGCGTCCCCGTCTGGCCAGGGCGCTGCCCACGACCCCTCGGTCAGGCCGGGATCCCAAGTCCGGGTGCTGCGCCCCACCCACCAGGCCCGGGTTCCTGCCTTTCCCGCAGGACCCCTCAGCTCTGGATCCTGGTGTTCCTCCATCGCCCGACCCTCCCCTTCCCCGCCCCCACTGCTGGCACCGCCCCCGCGCCCCCCACCCTGCCGGGCCGGCGCGCCCTACCTGGCGGCGACTGCCGCTCGCCCTCAGCCATCTTCCTGCCTCCAGGTGCGCGTCCTGACGCCTGCAGGCCCCTCACCTTTCACTCCAGCACCCACCCTTCTTTTCCCCGCGCTCAGAGCTTTCTAAAAGAGAAATGAGCACCAGCCGGCTATAACCAAAAACCAAGAATTAAAGTCACCCCAGTGGAGACGGCCGCCATGTCTGTGCGGGGCACGCAGTGAGCATGCCCAGCAACGGCCCACTCGCTGCAGCGGCGCTACAGGAAGGCTGCAGCCATGTTGGTGCGGGGCGCCGGAGCGCATGCGCCCCAACGGTCCCCCTCGCCACCTGAGCTGGCAACAGCCCGCCGGGCACGGGGTGGGGGGGGGGGGGGGTAGCCAGCGGGGCGGGCCGGGGCCTTTGCGGCAACCATGCTTTTGCGGGGCGGGTCCCACCTGTCATCTTTGTGCGTGCCTTTGACCCTGTACCGAGAGATATTAAGAGACATTCCCCTGTCAACGTGGCTGTGTGTTACTACCACTCTGCGGGTAATGCTCTAGAACCCCAAACGGACTGAAGAGTGCACACCAGTGCCTCCAAACCCGGGGACGGCATTTGGAGGTGGGAGAGGGCCAGCTGGACGGCGGCCCGCGCACCTGGCCCCTGTTCCCGAGTCCCATCGCCTCGCGGCGGCCACCGACTGCTAACTGCGCCCCCGCCCGGTGCCGTGACTCCGCCCCGCGCTCGCGGCTAGCTCCTTGGGGTTCGCAACTGGCTGGTGACCGCGCCCAGAGTCCTCCTGCCCGGGCCACCAGCCCTCCGCCCGCCCGGCCCGGTGGGTGGGCGCCGGGCCGCTTGAACCCGTTGGCGGGGGTGACTCGGCGACCTTGGCTAGGAGGCTCTAGCGGGGATCCACCAACGGTGGCGACAGCGGCGCGGACTTTGCCCAGTACGGGGTGCGGAGCGGACTGCGTGTCCGCAGGCAGGCCGAAGAGATGTTGGCATTCGCGGCCAGGACCGTGGTAAGTGCGGCCGGGAACCCGAGCTGGCGGGCCCTGGACCGCAAGCCGAGCCAGACACAGAGCTGCGCCCGAAAGGGTAAACAGGCTAACAGGCTGTGCGGCTACACGTCCCTGAGGCTGCGGTACAGCCTGGACTGAAGCTGCTGGGGTGGGGTTGGCAGGTGGGCTTCCCTGGTTTGGCAGAGGAACAGACTGAGGTTCAAGGTCAGAGGCTGGTTCGAACCTGTAGCGCTAAATTTCAAGGACCGGGAATAGTGGCACCCCGGCTCAGGCAGCACCCCACCCTTAGACTTGGAGTCAGGGAGCAGGCCGACATGGAGTGTCTCTCTCAGTTATTCTCTGACTCACACACCCAGAGAGCACACTCAGCCTGAGCAGTCTCTGCCCCAGCCAGAGCCACTTCCTCAACCCCATCCAGTTGGTCAGCCTCCTTGAACTTATCAAATGGTCCCTGGGGAGTTGAGTGTAACCAGAGAAACTCACGTGGAGGCATCAAGCTGGGCTGTCCAGAAAAGCCTGCGAACTGGCAGAGGTGGCAGGTGGCAGTCCCAGGCCTTCCCTCTCCACCAGGCCCTCCCCCAACCTGTCCATAACTCACACACAGGCACACAGGCACACGCGCGCGCGCACACACACGCACACGCCCCTGCAGTCCTCCCCAGAGGGCAGCCTGGAGCGAGAGGTGTGGTACCCTGATTTGGATTCCTGTACTCTCTGCTCCAAGCTTTTCTTTGTTTGTATCTCCCTCTGTCTGTGCCAAGAAGAACGGTCGAACAGATGTACCAGGCACAGAGAACAGGGGGCTCCTGTCCTTGGGCTTGTGGTGGACAGACTCTTCACAGTCTCCCCAAGTCCTAAGGCTCCACCTCACTCTCGTCGCTGCCACCTGAGGTGCGTCTCCATCCCACAAACAGTCTCTTAAGTCATCTTCCAGGACCTGCTGGATGGCCTGGCCTGATCACTTTACTGCTGGGGAAACTGAGGCAAGGAGCAACTGGACCAGAATCTCCTAGATGTGGTGACTCAGATCTCAGAGCCAGCATTGCTTGTTTTTGTTTTTTAATGCCAAAGTCCTTCCTTCTGGGCTCCCAGCTGAATGAGCCACAACTCGAGAGGCCCAGGCCCCGGTGGAAGGGTGGCCTAGAAGGGCTTGCAAGAGCTCCGGAGGGAAACAGAGGATGGACAGGGCTCTCGGTGGTCACTCTCCATTTATGTTCTCTCCCAGTGTCTGCCTCCTTATACCAACTCCGCTTTTCGAGACTGATCGCAGGGCTGTGGCGAACTTGGCACCTCGGCAGTCTCTGCCCTCCAGCCAAGTTTTTCTTCGTTAAACAGACCCATGCAGATTCTAACAGGTGGATTTTTTAGTGTCTCTTGGCCTCCCTGCCTGGCTCTGGGCCCATCTGGAGGAGAGAGGAGAATGTTTTCCAGGCTTCCTCCCACTCCAGGGCCCACGCACTCCAGCCCTCTAACCTGCTTCCCATTGCCCCACATCTGGAAGCCAGGGCAGGTAGAGCAGCTTCTCCTGCCACAGCCACCACCTCAGATGCCACTATGGCCACCACAGCCATCGCCACTGCTTCCTCTGCCTCCCCCCTGAATCTTGGCTCTTGTCTTCTCTTTCCAGCCCAGGCAAGTGGCTGCCTCTTGCTAGGTTCTGCTCACCCACTTGGTAGCACAGTTAGGCTTAGAGATCCAGCCCAAGGCAGACAGACAGGGCTCAGAACCTCAGTCCTGCCATGGAGGACGGGCAGCAGAAAGAGAAGGTACGGAACGGAGCCTCTGCCACTTGCCTGCCTATCGCTGCCAGTAGCCTCGAACTCTCTTTTGTCTCTCTTTCCGGCCGCCTTCAGAGTCTCCCTGCTCCCTCTCACCCTCCTTGCTGGGCCACTCAGCTCTTTCTTGCCTCAACGCTGCCCCCGTGCCACCCCTATTGCCATCCCGCAGGCAGGAAAAAGTCCTATGGCTTCACCTTCACCCAAAGGTGCTGTAATCATCTGGCTCGCTCTGATTTTCTCTTCTTCCCTCCTGTTTCTCAACCTGGCGAGGGTGGGAGAAAAGGAGGTGGGGACCTCTGGGAGGGCACAGTCACCTCACTGCTGGCTGGTTCATAGGCCCCGGGGGAGAAAGGTGGGGCCCTGTGCATTGAGACAGGTGAGAGGTCCCTCTCCACTCAGGCGCCCCCACCCGAGAGCTCTGCCAAGATCAGTGGCCACACCCATCCCTCCCCCAGCCCTACCTGCATCATCGGGCCCCCGGAGAGGAGGAGACACCTCACCTATAGCTCCAGGGCTGGGAAGCCAGGCCTGGCACCACCCCAGAGGCAGTCTCTGACCCCAGAGAGGGGCACATAAGGGCTCAGGACTGCAGCTTGGGATTGCCAGGGCCTCCCAGAGCCAGTGAGGGAATGAGTAGAATGTTCTGCTGCCTGCAGGTGAAGCCCCTGGGCTTCCTCAAGCCTTCTTCCTTGACGAAGGCTGCCAGCCGCTTCAAGGCGCACCAGGACGCCCTGCCTCGGCTGCCGGTGCCCCCGCTCCAGCAGTCCCTGGACCACTACCTGAAGGCGCTGCAGCCCATCGTGAGCGAGGAAGAGTGGACCCACACCAAGCAGCTGGTGGAAGAGTTCCAGGCTGCAGGGGGTGTGGGAGAGCGCCTGCAAAAGGGGCTGGAGCGCAGGGCCACGAAGACGGAGAACTGGGTGAGTTAAAACTGAGGGTACACCGACCCCCCAGTTCCCATGGAGGGGATGGGGGACAGGGGCCCTCCCGGAGGCTGTGGGTCATTGCGTGGAATTTTGTGAGTGCTACTCTGGGCCTGGCATTCGGCAGTGCTGGGTGAACGAGAAAGACACCACTGATGGCCTCGTGGAGCTTACACTCAAGTAGGGCAGGGAGAGAGGTGATTAAACCGGACACAGTGAGGGGTCGAGGCCATTTCAGGCAGTGAAGTTCCACAGAAATAAAGAGAATCACAGCATCTTTATGCTGAAGGGTCAGGGAAGGCAGGCAGGAGGTGGCTTTGGATCTGCAACCAACAGAGGGGACAACACAAGGAGGCAACAGCCTGGTGAGTTCGGGAACAGACAGAGGCGGGAGTGGAGTGCAGAGGGGCGGTGCAAGGAGAAAGAACTTGGACTTGAGTTCAGCAGGAAGGGGCGACAGGATTTGAGCTGTGGGGATTTGAGCTGTGACAAATCACTCTGGTTCTGTGTCTCAGCCTGCCACACAAGTGTGATCACCTGGTGGCAAGGTATTGACACGGATGCTCCGCGTACTTTTCTGTTTGTGTTTCGTACCTCAACATAAAGTTCACAATGACCTCTCCCGCCACTGCAGGGGATGCAAGAGTGGGAGCAGGAGGTGGGTGGGAAAGCTGGTACTTTCGCCTCGAGGGAGATGCTGGCAGGGAGTGGGGAAGTCGTTCAGTCCTGAAGACGTTTTGGGGCCAGTGGTACTGCTGATGGGGGTACTGAGAGGGGGACAGTCCTGACCTAAAGCCACCGTACGGGGGACTTATGGGGAAGAGGATGGCCTAGGGAGAAGCAGGTTTGTAAGAGGGAACCAAAGCCAGGTCTGGCCCCATGAGGTAGGAGGTGGTCCGAGGGGGCAGCTGGAAGGTTGGGGCGGGCACAGAGGAGACGGGAGTCGTCAGCAGGTGGATGGCTGCTCTGAGCCTGGGCGGCTCAGGGCCTTGGACTCCAGAATCAGGAGCGGGGAAAGTCGGGGGTCCGGCGGTTTTCTGACTTTGTTTAGCCTGCAGCTCCTTCACCCAGGCTGCAGGTCAGCAGACAGTGAGGTACCCACAGGCGTGATGTTCAGCGTGGGCACACCGCCACTCCACACCCCTTGCCAAGGGCCCCAGGCCAGCAGTCTCCCAGGGGGGATCGGTGTGGTGATGAGGCACGGCCCACCCTCTTTGAGGGCCATGAGGAAGCACAGCAGGGGCCCGGGTCTCCGGGATTAAAGGACCTTCAGAAAGAGGCGTCTGGGCATGTGCTCGAAAGGGGCGCAGGGCAGGCAGTGTCGCAACCAAGCACGAGAGGCTCAAGGGTGACAGTCACCTAGGAGCTTCTAACGTGTCCACGGTAGGTCCCCAGAGAGACAACACTCGCCTACTGGATCTAGCCCACATCTTGCCACCAGCACGATGACTTGTCCTCAGCGAGCTTCCCCTAGATCATGCTGACCTTGAGGTCCCAGTGAGTGTCCCCAGTCTGACACCAGCGAAACAGGCCCCGGGGGACCAGGGCCTCCAGTTCCCTGGAGAAGGCTCAGCCGGGACGAGCAAAAACTCCTTCATTGGAGTTTCTTTCTCTACATCTTCCTCTACTTTTCCTTTCTGTCAGGCAGACCTTTTTATATCTAAAAGTAATACAAAGCAGTGACCAAAATCTGTAAGGTAGAGAAACACCATTCCCATTTCTGCCCTTTTCGCCCCATGTCCCGGGTTTCCTGCCGGTACTCTGATCACTCTTGCTGATTGGCCCCGGCTATGGGAAGACGATGAGGCGCTGCGGGTGGGTTTGGGGGGGGGGTTCTGGGTCTGAGCATTTACTTTCAGAATCTGTGCTCCGCAGAGAGGGCAGAGGGTCCCCTGGCCCTGTTGGGAGGGGCCCCCAGATCCGCCCCCCTCCAACAGGCTCTGGCTCTTTCCCCAGCTGTCCGAATGGTGGCTCAAGACGGCCTACCTCCAGTACCGCCAGCCCCTGGTCATCCACTCCAGCCCTGGCCTCATGCTGCCCAGGCAGGACTTTGTGGATCTGCAGGGACAGCTCCGGTGAGTGGCTGAGGCTGGGAGGGACCCTGGGGTCCACTTCCTCCAGTCGGACTGGAGGTTGGAGGGGCCCAGCCCTGCTCATTATCTTTCATCCCCCCAATATGAAGCAGGGAGCATCATCCCTATTTTACAGATGGGGAAACTGAGGCTCAGAGCAGTGAGGAGGCTGCCCAGGATCACCCTTCAGTATCGGCTGAGCCGGGGCAGGGAGCACGTCTTCCTGGCCCCAGAGCTTCATGCCTGCTCCCCGGCGTAGTGAGCACTGGGCTCTGCCTGCACCCAGACCCAAGCCTGCCCCCCGTGCCAGCGCTGGCACTTCACCCGTCCTTCCCCTTCTTCTCTGGCCTCAGGGGTGACCTTTATACGCAGTCCCCTTTTCCACTTTCGGCCATGTCACTTGCCCTGGCCTCCGTTCCAGTCCTACCAGGGATAAAAATACCAGAGACAGGGATCTCCTGCCTAAACACCAGCCACCCACAGTCAGCACCTGCTGCTCTTAAAGGCACCAGGGCGCCCTGAGGAAGGTGTTGGGGGTTCAGACCAGGAACTCCAGCTGGTGGTCCCCATGTTGGGGCCCAGGGACAGCCCAGGTGTCAGACGGTTGGTATGGCCCAGACAGTCCAGGGAGGAAGGCCAGGTTGAGAGATGGCCTGGGGGAGACAAGGCCCAGAAATGGGTAGGGACCTAGTGCAGGGGACACCTCAAGCCACTGCCCTCCCACTCACAAGCCCCTCCCTGGTGTTCTGGGTCCCGCTGTAAGTGATGCCTGAGAGAAGGACACCATCCTTCCAGACTCCAGACCACGGTGCAGGGGTGCGGGCCCTCTGTGGGTGGGACCAGCCACACTGACCCGTAATCCTGCACGGCCGCGCTGCCCCACCTTCACGCCGAACTCGTGCCGGGCACCTGGCCAGCAGCTTCTCCCCGAGCCCTCCGAGTCTCCCTCTGGGGGTTTTGAGAAAGCAGGCTCAGAAGGGCGAGCTGCCAGCAGTGTGTGTGAGGAGTGAAGCAGTGGGTCACCCCCTCACCCTGCACGTGTCCCTGGCCCAGTGCCCGTCCTCGGGGTGTCCACACAGCTTCTGATCTCTCATTGGTCCCTCCAGGTTTGCTGCCAAAGTCATCGAGGGCGTGTTGGATTTCAAGGCCATGGTTGACAAGTGAGCACTCGGCTGCCTCTACCCTGCAGTAATTAACCCAGCCTCTCCAGCCGGGCCTAGCCCAGCCCCAAGCCCTGGGTGCTGGGCTGGCCCAGAGCTTGGGTGCTTTCACTTCCTGTTGTCCGGCCTCTGTTGGGGTTGGGGAGGCAGAGCCTGGGGACTGGGACGCCTACATCCTCTGCTCCAGCCGCTGGGACTTCCTTCTGGTGACTCCATCCCAAGCGGCCCCTGGAATTGGCGTCCCAGCCAGAGGCCCCGTAGGGTGACTGGCTACTTCATCTCCCCCCAGCAAACGGAATCCCAGAGAGGGGAAGGGAGTTTCCAGGGTGACTCACAGCAGGCCTCCTGACCGTCACCCTGCTCTGTCAGGGCCCTGCTCAGGCCACGGGGAAGCAGGGACATGAGGGGCAACTGACACTGTTTGCATGAGACTCGGCCTGGCCTAGCCCCAGCCGTGCCCAGCAGCTGCCTCTTCCCTTCTCCGCTCACACCATCCAGTGGCCCCTCACTGTCCCTTGCCCCACAGTGAGACCCTGCCCGTGGAGTACCTGGGGGGGAAGCCGCTGTGCATGAACCAGTACTATCAGATCCTGTCCTCCTGCCGTGTGCCGGGCCCCAAGCAGGACTCGGTCCTCAACTTCAGCAAGACCAAGAAGCCACCCATGCACATCACCGTGGTGCACAACTACCAGGTGGGGCCCCGCGCACACGGGGAAGGGCGGGCGCAGCCAGAAGTCTGCCTCCCTGACACATGCACCTGTGTGTCCCTGGGAATTGGCGTGCCCTGGCGTCTCTGCCGGGTGACTGGCTTGGTCCCCGCCTCGGGGAGACCAAGAGGGGCTGTGGGCCTGCCCAGCCTGGGGAGAGCAATGCAGGGACACCCCCTCCTGTCTCTCACCCCTGGCCTGACCCTGTCGCCTCACTGTGACATCTGGGCTGCCAGGGCCAGGAGGAGGCTGGGGTGGGACGAGACTGTGGCCAGACTGAGGTCCTCACCATCACCTGCCTGCCCCCGGCAGTTCTTTGAGCTGGATGTGTACCACAGCGACGGGACCCCCCTCACCTCGGACCAGCTCTTCGTACAGCTGGAGAAGATCTGGAACTCGTCGCTGCAAACCAACAAGGAGCCCGTAGGCATCCTCACCTCCAACCACCGCAATTCCTGGGCCAAGGCATACAACACCCTCATCAAAGGTGCCTCCAGAGGGCGGGGCGGGGAGGGGAGGCCCCCAGCCCGACCTCGGCCCACACCAGGCCCCAGGTTCCCTCTGAACCCTCCGATTTGGAGCAGGTGTTGGCCCGAGTTTAGGAAACTCGGTTGGGTGGAATTTGTTTCCCTCTGTTAAGTAGCAAGTGGGGTGAGAGTCTGAGTCTTCTGGCCTCAGAGCCCACCGTGGTCCCCGTGTCAGCCAGGGGCACTGTTCCTGAGCCAGACCCCTGCGTGGGGCCCCTGACTGCCACCCAAGCTGTCCGTGAGACTCTGGGCTTTCGCGCCCTCATTTCTCAAGTGGGCCAGGCAGGCCAGGCGTTGGGGATGCCTCACGGGGCGCTGTGGGGCTGCAGGCCCTGTTGAGTGGAAAGCCCGAAGTCCGTCCCAGCACTCGGCGGATGTTCTGGAGGCCTCCCAGGGCACCACAGACCTGACACCCCATTTTGGGCCCCTCCCTGCCGTACCACCCACAGACAAGGTGAACCGGGACTCGGTGCGCTCCATCCAGAAGAGCATCTTCACCGTGTGCCTGGACAGAGTCATGCCTCGGGTCTCTGAAGACAAGTACCGCAGCCAGGTGGCTGGGCAGATGCTGCACGGGGGCGGCAGCAAGCTCAACAGCGGCAACCGCTGGTTCGACAAGACGCTGCAGGTGAGGGCCTGGCCCGGCCCGGGCCCCGCCCCCGCCTCCATCCACGCCCACACTGGGCCCCCTGCAGCCTCAGGACTTCCTGTCCCTTGCATCACCTCTGGCACCCCAGCTCGTAAAGCAGGTGGAAGCCCGCAGGCAGATGCGCTGTAATTACCAGGCAGTCAGCCTGTCGATCCTGGGGCCCAGAAACCGCGGTCACCCCCAGCGCAGCCCTTCAGCACATCAGGGAGCCCGGGGCTTGGAAAGTAGAAGTTGCAGGGGGACTGCCCAGTAGGAGAGCTGCAGGGATGCTGTGAGGTATGCCGGCATGGGGCGTGCTTGGTGTGGTCCACACAGGCCCGAGGCCCTGGTGAGTGCCAGCTCTTGTTGACAACCGTAATATTAAGGAGCTAAGCCCTGAGGGGGCCTTCCTGTGGGAGCCGCTCTTGGGAGCCGGGGCTAACCCGTCCCCACGCCCCTCCGCAGTTGATCGTGGCAGAAGATGGCTCCTTCGGGCTCACTTATGAGCACGCAGCCGCCGAGGGCCCCCCCATTGTCTCCCTTGTGGACCATGTTGTTGAATACACGTGAGTGCGGCCCCCACCCTCCACCCACTTCCCCAGTTCTTGGAGACAGGACAGCCTAGCCTGTGAGGGAATGGCATTTTCCCTATGCCTGGGCCTAAAGGGAGGAAGGGTTTTTGAGCCAGACAAACCAGGATTTGAATTCTGTCTCTACCACTTCCCAGCCACATGACCTTGGACAAGTCCCATCCCCACTACAGGCCTCCTCTGTTTGGCTTTTTGAAAGCCGGAGGTAGTTTCAGAAGAATAAACTCAAGAGTCCCCCTGGGCTGGCCCCCTCCAGCTTCGGGGACCTATCCTCCCCGCCTTCATCCCAGGGATGGACCCAGGCTCCCCCGGCACTGATGTGAGCCTGAGCCCACATATGTGTGTAGGAAGAAGGCCGAGCTCGTGCGGTCTCCCATGGTGCCCCTGCCCATGCCCAAGAAGCTGCGGTTCAATATCACCCCTGAAATCAAGAACGACATCGAGAAGGCCAAGCAGAATCTTAGCATGTGAGTGCTGGGCACTGGGTGGGGGCCCGGCCCCTGGAGTCCAGCCAGCTTCTGTGCCAGTCTGTCCTCATACTGGGCTGGTTCTGAGACCTCCCTCCCTTGGAGCTGCAGGCCCGCCAAGCACCTGCTCCTCACCCGCCTCCTCCCCGCCCCCCAGCATGATCCAGGACCTGGACATGATTGCAACAGTATTCCACCACTTTGGGAAAGACTTCCCCAAGTCCGAGAAGCTGAGCCCCGACGCCTTCATCCAGATGGCGCTACAGCTGGCCTACTACAGGTCTGCCCTGCCCTGTCCTGGAGGGGGGGTGAGACCTGGAGGATGCACAGAGGTGGGGATGGCCTGCCGGGACTGTGCTCAGCCCCATGTCCCCCCAGGATATATGGGCAGGCCTGTGCCACATATGAAAGTGCCTCCCTGCGCATGTTTCACCTGGGCCGTACTGACACCATCCGCTCAGCCTCCATGGACTCGCTGGCCTTTGTCAAAGCCATGGATGATGCCAGCGTGACGGTGAGGGTTTAGGGTAAGGGTGGGTGAGTTGGGCTTGAGCCATTACCCTTCCCGTTCACTCTGTCAATGCACACTGATAGAGTGCCTGCTGTATTCTAGCCCTGTGGTGGGCAAAGGAATATAATAGAAGATACAGCCAGGAATTTAGTTCTGAGCTTCCTGGCAGGCCAGGAGAAAGGGGAACTATTCATTCATTCATTCACTCAGCACCAGTAAGCATCTGCCCTAGAGTGATGGTAGTTCTTCTTCCTCTCAGAGTGTAGCGCTGGGTGGGGAGTGGGCGCTGAGACAGACTGCAGGAGTAGGGAAGGCACAGTGCTTCACCTCCTTCTTCCCCTCGCCCCCATCGGCAGGAGCACCAGAAGGTAGACCTACTGCGGAGAGCCGTGCAGGCTCACCGAGCCTACACTGACCAGGTGAGCAAGGCCTTTCTGTCCCTGTGTGCTTGGCCCTTGGCATCTCTGTCCATCTGCCTGCCCATCCCTATAGCAAATAGCTGCTCACCCTTAGCTTGAACAACCCCTCCCCTGTGCCTTGGGGTATCTGGAGCAAGGCTAAGCACCCCCATGTTAAAGTTAGAGAAGCTGAGGCCAGGCCCAGGGACTGCTGTGGCCCCAGGTCTCAGGTGAGCCTTTGGTTGCATGTCAGGCTGCCCCCGGTGCCCCTGGAGCACTGAGGATGCACAGCAGGCAGGCAGCCGGACTCCTGCCCCCCAACAACTCAGGTACCAGTCAGTGACGTGGAGATCTGGGTCCCCATCCTGGCTCTGGCTCTGAGGGCCTGTGGGCTGCGCTCCCCCCGTGTTAAATGCAGATAACCATTTAGATCCCCTACCTGGAGTGTTCAGTGACTGTCACCATTTTATAAATGAAGACACTGAGGTTCCAAGATGTAAGTGACCTGCCAAGGTCCCACAGCCCAGATGGGGCTAGGCCACCCAGCTCCAGGTCTGTGCTCTTAAATCCTACACTGTCTTGCCTCCCTGGGCAGGCCCTAGACCTCAGTTTCTCTATCTGTGACGTGAGGGCTCTCCTGCCTGGCTGTTCTGGTCTCATTGGTCTGAGGGGCCCGTGAGGGAAGATGTGTTGCTGCCATGTGCTTCTGAGGAGGGTGGCGGCAGTACCCTGTGGTCCCTCGGCCCCTGCCCCTGCCCATGCTCTCTCCTGCAGGCCATCCGCGGGGAGGCCTTCGACCGGCACCTGCTGGGCCTGAAGCTGCAGGCCATCGAGGACCTGGTGAGCATGCCTGACATCTTCATGGACACCTCCTACGCCATTGCTATGCACTTCAACCTCTCCACCAGCCAGGTGGGCCACCACCCCAGAGCCAGCTGGGTGCCCCTGCCCTGTCCCTGGTGCCCCAGGGTAGGATGGAGCAGAACCCCAGAGCTGGAGTGGGACAGAGGCTAGAGCCAAGGTCTCGAACACCATCAGACCTTGGTGGCGGTATGGCCCACAGAGGCCACCACAGGCCTCTGCCAAGCGGCTGAATTCTGGCAGAAGAGACTGGTCAGGGGGCTTCCCTACAGCTCAGGGGAGTCAAGGAACCCCAGGGGAGAATCAGCTTCATGTATCCCGGTCAGACACGAAGGAACACGTGGTCCGTGCCAGCCTGTGCTGGGTACTGGGACACAGCGGGGACAGCAGCGTCCTTGCTCCGGGGTCTCAGTGCAGGCTGACAGCATGGGGCTGAGCTAGGAACGACCCCAGGAAGTGCTGGGGGGTCATCAGAGTCCCCAGGAGGGAACATCAGTGGGGCTCCACGGAAGGGCGGCACCAGGACCGCACCCTGCAGGTGGAGGGAGTCTCCTGTCCGGTGGGGAAGAGGGGAGGCATCTCAGACAGACAGCAGGGCGGAGACGTGGGAAGGCGGGCTGGTGCCACCCAGGGGCTGAGGGGACCCATCGGGGTAGGGGTGACAACCTCAGTCCCATGCCTCTCCCAGGTCCCCTCCAAGACAGACTGCGCCATGTTCTTTGGGCCTGTGGTCCCAGACGGCTATGGCGTTTGCTATAACCCCTTGGAGTCCCACATCAACTACTCCGTGTCAGCCTACAACAGCTGTGCCGAAACCAACGCCGCCCGCCTGGTGCACTACCTGGAGAAGGCGCTGCTGGACATGCGCGCTCTGCTGCAGGGCCACCCCAGGGCCAAGCTCTGAGCCTCCCGTGCTCGGGCCTGCCAGTGCCACAGCCAGGCCACCTTCGGGTGGGCCACCCACCAGGGCTCCGCCCTTTGTTCCCTGTCCCCCTGGGCCCCGCAGATCTGGCTGAGCCAGGGCCAGCACCACACACTCAGCGGGGCCCACAAGTCCCAGCCAAGTGCCTTCCATGGGCCACCCCAGCATCCTGGGCTGTGTTCAGAGACTGAGTAGGATGTAGGCCTGGGTGCCCCATGTGTCCCCCACAGAGGCCTTCCTCTGGGGAAAGGAAGCAGCTGAGTCCACCCCCACCAGGGTGGGACACGGGGAGTCCTCTTCTCGGCAGTCCACCTCTGGCCAGTCCCCACCGTCTGTGCAGCCTGGTCAGATCCACACCCAGACCCTCAAACTCCTGAGGACCTAAAGACAGGACTGTCTGGAGTGGGGGACTCCAGGCAACCCCAAGGCTGAGAGGCCAGGGTGTGAGGTGTCCTGGGGACCACCCATCAGCCACCCTGCAGCAAGAGGCTGTCCCCCACAGGACTGCCACTGCCACACTCCTTTGAAGAATGTGGCTCAAGAACCCTGCCTCGTTCGCTGCCACTCAGTTGGATTCCCGAACCACGTTCCTGGTTGTATCGTAGTAACACGCGAGGTATTAATAAAGGGAAAATTTGTTGGTAGAGACATTCCAGTTCAGGAGGCAGGCAGGTGGGGTGGACAGCCGGCCTCCTTCCAGCTTTGCCTGTGTCTGGGAGTTGGTGTCCCAGCGGCCAGGGCCACCAGGGCCAGAGGAGAAAAGAGGAGGGCCCCTCAGGCGTAGGCCAGGGAGCCACGGGCCAGTCCGAAACAGCTCCCACCTACGAGTGACTTGGGCCTTTCCAGTACCTTGGGCTGAGGGTGGCGACAACTCCCCCAGGGGGACTGGGCCCATGAACCCGGGTCTGGTGGGCTGTGGGGCTCGCACCAGGGCCCGAGGCCTCGTCCTCCGGCCTCCCACGGAGCCCAATGGGAGTGGTGCCCCAGAACACATGGCCACCTGACCGGAACCCCGAACCTACCTGTCCCCAACACTAGGCACCTGGCAGAAGCAAGGCGACTCGCCAGTGAACTGCACATGGAGTCTCTCCCCCCGAGGGACGCTCTGGCCCTAAGATGAGCGAAAACCCAGAGCAGAGGCTGGGGGTGCAGGTGGGAGAGTTCGTCGAGCCTGTGAGAGGTGCTTCGTGACCTGGCCGACTGGTGACGGTCACAAGATGGGGCCTGTGGTTTTTCTCCTTTATGCACATGAGGAAACTGAAGCCCAGAGAGGTTAAGGTCACCAGGCCCTAAAGAGCAGAGCAGAGACTCCCAGAGGCCATACTTCAGGTCAGGACAGGGAGACCCCATGGCCAAGGCCCCAGCACCACCCACTGTGACCACCCAGGGTGGGGGTGAGAAAGGGAGGCCGTGGGCAGGAATGGCCAGGACGCAGGCCTATGAGCTGGTGGGGAGAGCAGAGCTGCAGCCGGGAGCTGCTGGCTGGACTGGGACACAGATTGAGGGGAACTAACCTATGAGGGGGACCGGAGCTTGCTGGGCCCTACTCAACCTCCCCAGAGCTGCAAAAGCAAGGGACTCAGTGTCCTCATTCTCCAGTGAGGGTGACAGAAGGTGTGCCACTTGCTCAGCGTCTCAGGAAGCAAGAAGTGGAGCCCAGACAGTGGGGCGAGCAGGGTTTGCTCTAGGCCTGGCTGCGCCTCAGGCCCCCAGCACGGCCGGCAGGGTGGGGCAGTGCCGGCGGGGTGAGGTGCTGGCACACGAACGCCCCTTCCCTGGTCCACGTGGGGCAGGACCTGGAAGGACGCCGTACACAGCCCAGTGTCATCTCTGCAACCACGGGAGCGATGCTGCTCCCTGGGGACCACGAGGGGCTCCAGGGAGCGGGGGCTCAGCAGCTGAGCACAGTGCGTGCGGCACTGGGGAGGGGTCACGGGGAGGGGAAGACAAGCAGGCCACGGACACCGCAAGAGTCACCCGGGACTCCCAGAACTCGCCCCGAGGACCGTGCAGGCCTGAATGTGAGGCAGGGTTCCCCACCCCCCAGATTGCCCCTCAGAACCACACGGCACCCCAGGAAGGCACACTGAGTACCCAAAGAAGCCCAGGCAGTGTCAGGTGGAATGCTTACATGTCCCTAGGGGCGCTGGCGGGGAGGGAACGGCAAAGGAACAGACCTGGTGCTGACTCCTGAGGGGGTATGACCTGTGCCCTCACAGCTGGAAGCCACACAAGCAGGTCCCTGCGCACACGACAGGCAGGTGCTGGGGGGTGACGCACCGACAGGATTTCTGGACCCACTGCCGTGTGTTATGGGAGTGGGTGCTCGTGGCCTGGGGTGCGATTTCCAGCATCAGCATCAGCATCGTGCATGAAATCCAGAAAATGCCGGTGGACCCAGAATTCAGAGAACTGACTCCAGTGGCCTTCAGAGGCAATTCGACCCCGACAGCAAAGATGAACTTGATTTTTTAAAAATGAGAGAGAAATAACTAAGTATACTTCGTGCAATAGCTATTGGAAATGTGAACACGTATTAAGTGAATGAATGAACGACTACATGGCAAACACAAGGCCCACAGGCCGAATCCGCCCTCCACCTGGTTTTATCCGGCCAGCACCTTGTTTCTACCCGGTGGCAGTGCTGAGCTCCTCGCCCCTAGTGAAGGAGCAGTTACGTTTACAGTCCTAAAATCACATTTGGCCCTTTGAAGGCAACCATGAGGCCATTGTGGCCTCCAGTGAAAATGTGTCTGACACTCATCTGACATTTAGGGCCACAAAGTACCTAAACATCCAGGTTAGCATGACTTGACTTGGGCTGTCTTCATGGAGCAAGTGCAGTGGCCAGGAACAAGGCAGGCCTGGCGTGGAGCCTGCCAAGGGGCTGAGGGCCAGATGGAGGGAGCCACAGGGACCACGTTAAAGATTGGGGCCGGACCGAAGCCCCCGAGGAGGGCACTCAGGAAGACGCTGAGAGGCTGAAGGGGGCCTGACAGTGGGGAGGCCCTGCTGCCTCTGGACAGGGACCCGGGGCCGGGGCCGAGAGTGCTCAGGGGAGCAGAGAAAAGCGGACGTCTCAGACACCTGAGCTGGAGTCAGCAGACTTTGCAACAGCAACAGAAGTGGGTGGTGGGGGTGGCAGGCGGGGGCAGGTGTGTCATTTGGGGCGAAAGCAGAGTTGAGCTGGGACTCAGGACACCCCGGGCCCAGCCCTTCCCTCTCCCCACGTGCACTCCGGGGTTCCTCCTCCCTGTCGTCTGGCTTTCCTCTTCCACTGTGTCTGGCCCGCTGCGGAACACACCTGTTGAGCTCTTTTCGGCTGTCAGATTTTTCCGTTTTGATTCATTTGAAAATCTTCCACGGTTCACCTACGGTTCCCCTTCCCTGCTGACATTATCAAGTTTGTCTCTTCTTTCCGTAAAACACAGAACACGCGGTCTGTGCCTGGTCACTGCAGCATCCGAGGGGTTTGCAGGTCTGTCTCCGTGACCTGCTTCCTGCTGGCTGAGTCGCGGAGTCACCCCCTCCCGGGCTTTGTGCTCATTCTGCTCACTGCACTTTAAGGACTACTCATGCAAATGACTGGCGTCTAGGAAGTAGGTTCCTTCCTCCCGAGAACCCGTTCGCCTCCACCTCACATCTCCGGTGAGGTCACCTTTACTGAATGTTAAGGTTCTGGGAGCTTGTGCGAGGGCAGAATTATTTCGGACCCCTCAGCCTAGGGTATAGCCAGCCTGCATCTCAGTGCAGGGAATCAAGGAAGGATTAGAGGCCTCCAGCATCCCAGCTCAGTTTGCAGTTACTTCTTCCAAACCAAGACCCACCACGCACACGCTCAAGCCAGACGGACTTCCACGAGGACTGGAGGTCCTGGCAGAGGCCTGGGCAGAGCACGCCAGCCGCCCCCGGTCCTCCAGGGCTGCCTGTCACATGGAGGAGGAACTAGGCTCACTACGAGCGAGTCCAGAGCCAGCCAGGACCACACAGGAAAGCGGACTGAGACAGGAAAAGGGGACACTTCCTAACTCTCCGTGGCAGTGAGGTCTCCTCTGACTCTGATGGGAAATGTCACCGGGCCATTCAAACTGTGGCTTTGGGGGCAGGAGGGACCAGATGTCTTGGAGACACTCATGATGCCACAGTTCTAACCGCATCCTCGCTCCTCAGGGCCACGCCTCCAGCCTCCTCTTGTGAGCTCGTCAACGTGTGCTCAAGCGGCCAGAGTTCAAGATTTTATTTTAAAACAATAGTAAACAATTTGATTTTTCTTCAACCGTCTCACACTTGGCTTGTCTCAGGCAAAACATACAAAATAAGAAGGAAAGAGGAGGAGGGAATGTGGGGACTGACCAGCCTTCCCCAGAAACAGGCCCCTGGTCCTGGCACCTGGAATGGCTTTTGGACACTGTCTTTGACAAATGAAAAAAGAAAGCACCCAAACATTGTGCTTCAGCAGCAGGTTAGGAACCTCCACAAAGAAAGGGAGGGGCGGGATTCCAACATAGGTCCCCGAGCAACCTGGGTCAGTTCTGGAAACTTCCAAGAACCTGGAAGCAAGTCCACCCCACAACTCCACTTCAGAGAGACTCGGAGACCAAGTCCCTGTAAGAGGGCCCATCCCGGGCTGGACAGCGGGGTCTATGCACCCCACCCCAAACAGGCAAGTCTCCAGCCCAGCAGAGGGGGTCGGGAAAGACAAGGAATGTTCAGAGTGAGGGGGAAAGGGCAGGGCTTGGATGGCAGGCACCCACTGCCCGCCCCCTCCCCCAGGTCCCGGTTCCTTTGCATTTTGTCCTTGTGGAGATGAAAGCTAACTGCTCCCAGACGGCAGGACCAGAAAGAGCTGTAAACAGCCTGGGCTCGCTCACCCACATGTGCAGGCTCCTTTGTCAGAAAGGGACCAGAGAAAGCCCTTGTGGTGCAGGGTCGGTTCGAGGCAGGACGCAATGACAGCAGCCGCCAGAGGCCGCTCTCTCTGGGCCCTGGCCCCCAGACTAGGAAACACTGAATGAGGCTCCGGAATGGCAATGGCGGCGGGGAGGGCACGGCGCGCTCCCCACCTTTCAGGCCCAGGAAGAGGCAAAGGGCCTGGGCCCCTTGGTACTTGGGGCAGCCACAGCAAAGCAGGCTCTTCCGGCCCTGTCTCCGAAATCCTGTCTGCCATTAACAAAACCAAAAATAGTGTGTATTTTTCACGTCACCTGGACTCCCCGGGCCCGAGAGCACAGGTGTGAGCCCTTCTCCTCTACCCCACACCCAGCGCCCACACCAAGGGCACCTTCTGCCCGGCCGGGGGCTGGCAGCAGCACACCGAGGGCCTCTGGCCACGCACGTGGCCCCCGGCAGCAGGCCCTCCAGGGTCCTGGCTGAGGGGCTGACTCAGCCCTTCGGGCCACCTTGTTCATTAAAATAAAAATAAGAAAAGAAAAGGCTCTGCTTGGTGACGGGTCTGTAGAGGTCTCTGCTTCATCCCTCTGTCGTTCCGTCCATCCCGCAAGGCATCGTGCAGGCCAGACCTGGAGGCTGGACCCAGCCTCACTCACCATCACTGCAGTTTCGTCCCCAGCTTGCGTTGTCTGTTCCTGAAAAGTGGGGGTGGGAATCTAAAGTGAGGATGCCTGGGGTCAGGGGAGGGGATGCCTGGCAGTCAGTGCCCCCTTAGCTGTCCCCTCCCTACCCACAGTCCCAGCAAAATAAGTGAAGGCCCACCCCCAGGAGCCCCAGCAGCTGGCTCAGCCAGGCCAGTCAGAGTTCCTGTCCTAGGACCCAGCACCTAAACAGGGCCAATCTCTCTGGCTTGCCTGTATCACAGACGCCTTGGCCTGGAGTCCAGGAACAGAGCCAGGAGATTGGGGCAGGAGCGAGGGCAGGACAAGAGAAAAGAGGCTGAGGGCCAGGGCTGACTTCTGACTATTTACAGGGAGTTCCCCTTCACAGATGAGCCAGTACAAGCAGGGCTATTATAACCAACAAAGCAGGCTGCAGGCAGTGCGTTCTCTATCCAAGAGGTATGCAAGCAACGGCAGAACTACTGCTGGAGGTTACAGAGGAGTTGGAAGTACCTGGTTTGGGGGCGTGGCTATATTCACGACCGGCCGGGAACCGCAGGGAAGCAGGGGTAATCCCCCATCTTCTAGAGAGCCTGGCTGAGGCTCAGAAAGAAGATTGGGGCCATCTATAGAGCCCAGTTACATTTCAGGAACCTAACTGCACCCATCTCTCCTGCATGATGCGGTGCTAGTCGTGCCTCACCCCCGCCTCACTCCCGCCCCCTTGCTCCCTGGGCTCCGGCCACGGGGCCTGGCCCCAGCTGGCTGGACTCACCAAATGTCCGCTGCCTCAGAAGCTTTACATACTCTCTCCCCTCTTCTGAGAGCATTTCCTGCCAAACCCCAGCTTCAGCAGGCACGGCCTTCTCTACATCTGGGTCTGTCTCCCTGGGGCAGCAGGCCTGCCCACCCCGCCCCAAGCCAGGTCCCTGTCCAGAGCTCCCAAGCCCAGGGCTCTCCTGGCACAGGCAGGCGGCCTGGTCCCTGGCCGCTGGGGCTGCCTTGCTCCCTGCCTACTCTCAGCACACAACTTGGCACTGAGCATGTGCCACATCAAAATTTTGGTAAACGAAGGCAGGCATGGCAAGCGGGGTCAGGAAGGGTGGGGCAGGGCCTCTGGGGCAGGACCACTGGGGGAGCCTGGGCCAGCAGGGGCTTCTCCCCCAGCAGTGGGATTACCTGCCCTAACCACCTCAAATCCCCTTTCCTCATGGATCCGAGGCTTTCCACCTTCAGCTCTTTAGGATAATTTGGACCATGATGCACTAGACACACTCTCAGGCCGCTGGGACGCCCTGCCCTGCCCTGCCCTGCCCTGTGATTCCTCTCCCCAGCTCCTAGGGAAACCTCCCAGGCTTGCTCTGGAGACTGACCTCCTTCGGCTCTTGTCTGAGCCCCACGAGGGGCCAGGCCTCCCCACCCTAGCTGACACTCTACCCGGAACTTGGGATGAGTGGGGAGGGAGAGCTCCATCAGGGGGCTCCAAAGCCCAGCTTTGTACCAACTTGCTGTACAGCTGCACCTGAGTTGACCCATCTACAGGGAATGTGTCTGGACTAATCAGCGTAAGGAGTGTCCACACAAAGACGCCCTGAGAATCCCAGCTGCCCGGCTCTCTGGTTCTGAGCCACAGGGGTTAAAAGCAGAGCTCTGGGCCAGCCAGCCTGGGTTCCCAGCCCAGCTCCCCCACGCACCGTCCCTAAGTCATCCATCAAGGGGCTCCTCATCTCATCTCTGAGCCACAGCTTTCTCATCTGCAAACGGTGCCCAGGGGAGGACTCAGGGAGGCGGTGCAAGAAAAGTGCTTAGGCAAAGGCCTGGCCCTTAGGGAGCCCTCAAAAAGGGGAGCAGTGGCTTCCCTGGGGCTATGCCCCACTGAGCCAAGACCCAGTGACTGCTGAAGCCCTAACTCACCTGGCTTCAGCCCGGGTCACCGTGTACTCAAACCAGAGCACGTTGGGAATGAGGCTTGTGTCTCGGATTAGGAAGAACTCGGAGACGGGCCTGCGGAGACAGACGTGCAGAGCCCCAGCGCCAGGTCAGGACTGTCGCCAAGCCAGAGTCCCCCATCTGTGCCTGGGGCCAGCCACCCACCTCCCCCCAGCTGCTCAGACAGTCCTGCCTGGCCAGTGACCCCAGAGCCACTGAGAGACCCAGACGTGTCATCTGCATCGCAGAGGCAGGGCACTCCCTCTCGGTATACACTCAGCTCAGCAGGACTTAGGCTATGTCCTAAGTCCCTGAGAGCCTCAGTGAGGACAGAGAGTGCCACCCTGACCCCTGGGCCTGAGGAAACCCCTGCACAATACAGAAGCCACGCGAGCTTCAGGCCCACCGGAGGCCCAGACACTAGGGCTCTCCCAGGGAGATCGAGGCTGAGGTAGGAACTCCTGGGTCCTCCCACTGATGGCCTCTTTCACAAGCGGGGACAGGGACCATGATGCCTGGGAAGAGGGGAGGGGCAGCGATAAGGGCCAAAAGCATTTACCAGGATGCTATCCTGGGGAACAGAGGGGTGAGGACCTCCTGGGTGAAGGCGAACCAAGCGATGGCCATGAGGCTTCCAGCGATGCCCCCATAGAACACCTGGCTCCAGGTGTGATATAGCAGGTAGACCCTGGGCCAAGGACAAAGGCAAGTTCATGAATAGGCCTGCACAACGTCCCACGCCCAAGTCCTAGCCTCCCAGGGACTGTGAATACACACGGGGAGACACACACAGAGCGGGCAGACCTCTGTGAACACAGAGCCTCAGATAGACTCCAGAAGGAGGCAGGGGACTGGGCCCTGACCTGACCCGTGCCGCCCTCCCAGCCCGAAGTGAGGAGACGGCTCAGCTGAGAGTCGACTCCCTTCTCTCTAGCCCTTGAACTCCGAGTTGGTCTGCAAGGGGCTCCCCCAGGATGCTGGGAACAGATGGCTGATCTGTGGAGGTGGCCCAAACCCTGGGCACAGCCAGGAGGACAGAGTGAGGACTGGACTACAAGGGGCAGTGGGGCCCTGACCCCGTAAAATGAGAGGCCGGGGACCTCTTTCTCCACCCTGTCCTACGGGCTCTGGGACTCAGGTCCACGGACAGGTCCAGTCGGGACCGAGAATCCAGCAGGAGCCAGAGGGCAGGGTGTGGCGGTGCCCCGCTCCGTACCTGCTGTAGGAGACTAGCAGGGCTGCGGTGAGGAGGCCCAGGGAAAGCAGGTGCCTCCACAGCAAGTCCAGAAACCTGGCGTTGTTCGTCTGGTGCATTCTGGGGAGACAGACCTGCCGGTGGCCTCGGCCCACAGCCCAGCCCAGGCCCCCCCACAGGCTCCCTGGGAGCCTGCTGTGCTGTCTGCAGCTCCTCCCACCCCCAGAAGAGGCCAAGCCCCAAGGGGTGTCCAAAGGAGTCTGGCCTGGGCCAGTTCAGGGCCAGTCCAGCCAGTGGGGGCGGGGTGGGGGGAGCTCACCTTAAATACAGGAAAAGAAAGGAATAGACGGAGAAAAACCACATAAACTGGGAATGACTGGAGGGCATCCCGTACTTGGTGCCCTCCGCCGTGTGGGGGCCTGAGGGAGAGAGAACAGGGCAGGGCGGGAGGATGAGGCCTCCCAGTCATGACCCGACCTTGGGGACCCCGGATCCCCACAGCCTGGGCCCTACCTCCACAGGGCCGAGGCTCCTGGATGACTTGTTTGATCAGCCAGTTGACCCCCTCGTTCAGAGTCAGGCCCCCGAGGAATGAGATCTGCCGGGAAGATGTATGGTCAGTTGGGCCTCTGTGCCTCCCAGCCACTGCCCAGCCCTGCAGGCTGTGGCCTGAGGCTGACCCTCCCGGCCCAGCTGGTGACCAACCTGGAACCAGCCAGGGAGCTCCAACGCCTCAGGAAAGGCAGAGGCATGGAGGGGAAGGGGCATTCCCTGGGGCGGAATGGTGTGACCCCCTTCCTGGGGCAGGGACAGCGGTGGGTACCGACTCACCGTGTGCAGCTCCCGCTTGAATATGATGAGGGTCACGAAACCAACAATGACAAATATGGGGCTGAGGCTCAGGTAGGCAAGGAGGTGGCCAGAGAGATCACCTGGATGCAACAGGGAGACCAGGATGAGGACAGAGCATGATACGAGAAGCAGGGCTGGCCCTTCTTGCAAGTTAAGTAGGACCTGAGCCAGAAAGGAGGTCCCAGCAGGGCCGGCGTGCAGGGCAGGCAGTTGGGGCCGTGTGGGGTACTGGCAGCCCAGATACTACCCTGCCTAGTCAGGGGTATGAACTCGACTCCTCTGACCCCCAGGCTAGCCCTGGGCCAGGGGACAGCCCAGCAGGCACACCCACGGGTGCCTCTGGAACACAGTGCTTGATCAGACTGCCCCAGCCGAGCTCTGGGACTCCTGGGGGACCCAGGACTCTCCGGTCACACAGAGACTTGGGTCTGTGCTTCAGACCCCACAAGGATCAAGGCCAGGGCTGGGGCGGAGGCCGTGCTGCCCAATAAGTATGCCTGCTGCAGGGACAGCTTCACACTTGTTCTCTGACTGGCAGGAGGCTGGCTACCTACCGGCTGCCTGCTTTTTTACCATCCTGACGGACCATGGACGGACACAGTGTGATGACTGCCAGCTTCTTCTGAGAGATGAAGACTCCGCAACCATGCGATGAGCCACTTTCCCCCTCAAATCCAAAGGCCACCCTGGCCATTCAACTCGGGAACAGCCACGTGGCTGCTCTCAAGTAAGAGAGCGAGGCTCAGTCCCGGGCCAGCACTGGCTGGCCGTACGACCTCAGGCAAAGATGCCACATCCCTGAGCCTCCATTCTCGCATCTGTGAAAAGGGGAAACTAGTACCCACCCCCTGTGCCTGTGGGACACACAGCTCGGTCCCTGGCACCAGGACACGGCCATGCAGGGGGCGCTGCTCACCCAGAGGCTGGGTGAAGTTGACACGGGAAGTGGCCCACACCAGCCTGGTCTCTCACACAGATAGCTGGGGAGGTGCCCACACAGGGAAGAGCCCAGACTCAGGCTGAAGAGATGGGCACACAGCTGGCCTTACCCACACCCACCCAGGGTAGGGGTAGCTTGGAGTTGGCCTGGGGGATAGGCCATCAAGCTCCGCTCGAGTGCTAGTGCTGCCACAGGTCAGATGGGTGACAGTGGGCAAGGCTCTTCTCATTTCTGGGCCCCTGCCTCCTCACCCACAGGACGCCCCAGCCTCTTACAGCCCTGAGATTCTGGGTCTCTCAGCTGCCCAGCTGACAGATGGCACAGAGCACCTGGCAGTGAGGAAGGGGAGCAGCTGGTGCCCCAAACCTGCGGCCATCTCCATGGCCTGTTCCACATGGCGCTAACTTGGGACCTTCCTGCAGAAGCTATCTGTGACTCTGGCCTTGCCACTCTGCTCCAAGCCCCTCTGTGGCTGCCTCTGCCCTTGGGATAGGTCCCACCTCTGCCCAGATCATTAGGCAGGCCCAGGCCTGCTCCTCTCCTACACTGTGCTCCAGTTAGTTCCTGGACCACACTCCAGTTCCCTGCCCTACTTCTGGACCTTTGCACACACTGCTGCTCACACTTGGGATGCTACCTGGGTTAACTCACGTAAAGTACCCACCACAGTGGCAAAAAAGGCTTGTTCCTGCCACTGCAGAGCTCTCAGTACAGTGGGAGAATATGCTACTGGGCATCATTCATGATATGCCTATTAGTGTAGACATAGGGGTGTGCTGGTCTCTGCCTCTATCCAGCCCATAAGAGCAGGAACAGGGGTCTCTTTACACAGCACTCAATGTCCCCAGCCCAGCACAGCGCCTGGCACTTAACTAGGCTCAAACATAATGGTCGGTGAATGGAAAATGTGTGAAGAAAAAGGAAGCAAGGGGTATGCAGACGTGCAGAAGGCCATAGAAGAGTTAGCATGGGATGCCCCCGGCTCAGCCAGGCCTCTCCTTCAGACCCACCATCCCTGCTAAAGGGTCCCTCGTCACAGCCTGCATCATACTGCTCACAACTGCCAGGTTCCTTATGCTGCTTCTGAGACTGTGAAAACCCAGAGAAGCTACTCCGAGGCCAGGCAGGAGAAGCCATGAAGGTGCTGAGGCCTTGGCCAAGTCCTTTTCCCTCTCCAGGCTTCAGCTTCCCTCCTGTAAAGTGGGGTTTTTCATAGTCCAGGGCTGCAGGGACTTCTCAGTCTGTTCACCACTCTAAACCCAGAGCTAGCCCAGGGCCTAGCATGCAGGAGGTGCTCAATGGATACTGGCTGAATGCATGGATGGGTGGATGGACAGTGGGCAGGCAGGCTGCAGGGCCACTCCACCCACGCAGTAACCCAGAACACCCAGGGTCAAAGTTCTCTGGCAGCTAGCCCTGTGGCCCCCAGCAGGGCCAGGTTCTCCCATCTCCACCCAAAATACCAGCATATGAGCAGGCCCTTCCTAGGACAACGAGGGTTCGATGAGGGGCTCATCTGATATCCAACCAACCTACCTAGGGAGGGTGGGGTGGCCTTAAGAGGGTCTTGAGAAGGTGGGATATTAATTGCAGTAATTTTTCAATGCGTCCTGCACACCAGGCACCGCACTCAGCATTTCTCATGCCCCTGTTATTAGATTCTCACGTCAACACTAGAAGGGAGGCACTGCAGTTAGTCCCACTTTAGAGACGAGGTGACTGGGGCACCTACGGGGGAAGTCACTTGCACAAGGCCCAGGCCTGAACTTAAGCCCAGATACCTCTGACCCCAAGGCCCAAGCTCTGCAACACTCTACTAGACCGCCTACAGAACGGTAGCTGAAGAACGTCCCAGATGGAAAACTGCGCTTTTAGAGACATGTCTGATGGGAAGCTCCAGAAGTCAAGATCCCGGGGGCTGCCTGCCCGTCACCGGATTCCCCTCTGTTGTGCTCTTCCCTGCTCAGGGAGTGGCACGCCAGAAGTACTCAAACAACGAACAGTTGCCTGGCCTCCGTTTGCACACTTCCAGAAACGAGGAGCTCTTTCTCTTACAGGCAGTCCAAATTCTCTGTTCGAAAGAAAGACACTCCCTTGAACGCCGGGGAGAGAGTCAGGCCTCTCTGGCTCCGGGGGAGGAGGGCAGGAAGGGCCCAGGTCCAAGGCAGTAATCCTTTCCCGTTTCACACGTACCCCTCCCCATTACAGCCCACCCGTGCCCCAGGACCAGGGGGAATACCCCGACCGCGCAACCGCAGAGTGCGCGAGCGAGCCTCACAATTTCGCCCAGCTCATCGCCGCACCACCGCGCCTGCGCGGCGCGCGCGCCGGCCGAGCCCCTCCATGGCTCACTATTTGACAGTTACTGCCCCGATACCCCAGCGCCTCATCCGCGGGCTCGCACGAGTCGGAGCGCCCGCGGCTGAAAGGCCGGCCCCAGGAAGGCGTCTTTGGTGCCAGGGCCACCTCTTACCTGCAGGATATTCGACGTGGGTAAGGGTGACCGGCCGCCATGAAGCGGGGAGCGAGCACTGTCCGTCCGCTGCCATCTTACCCGGAGACCGGGCTTCGCTGAGCAGCCAATGGGGTGCCAGGGGGGCGGTGGTCCTGGCTTATCTTGCCGGGGAGGCTCCGCGCATCCAATTGGAAGCTGATACAGGTAGCGGCGCAGCCATTAATCGTGCAGGCCGTAGTGCTGGCCCCAGTAACCAATCAGAGAGCGAGGCCCCTTGGAGCTTATGAGCCGGCAAAGCCAGCGTCCAATCCGGGGCGAGAGCAGGTAGGTTTCTGGTCAATCAGGGAAGGGGAGGGTTCCAGCGCAGAATAGAGGGCAGAACAGCCAATCAGAATGTGAATCCGGCTCACAGGGTGGGCAGGGTGGGCCAATCAGACTCTAGCTTGGGGGGCGTGTTGAACTTTGGTGGGAGCTTTGGTTTGGCTGGGACCTGAGCGGAGTGGAAGCTTCCCCAGCACCTAGAGCCCGCCCTGAGTTGGGGGGTACCCGGGCGCCGTTGGGCGTTTGCTCGAAGTGGGGAGGCCACCTCGGCACAATGGGGTCTGAGTCCACACGCTTTTAGTTACGAGGAAACTGAAGTCAAAGACCCAGAGGCACTTATTTTTTCTTACCTGATGCGAAGAGGGGAAGTTTAATGGAAGTTAAGATTCCTTCCTTCTTTTCTTTGATTAACAAAGACTTAGTGTTTCAGTCATATTTATACTATTTAATGAAGCAGCTTGGGGACATCTTAAACAGGAAGCCAGTTTTCTATCTACCTCAGTTTCCCCAAAGCATTCCACTTAGTAGGCAACAAGGCCCTGCATAAACAGCCACAACTTGCCACCCACCTGTCCCTCTCCTATCCCGTCTCAGAAGAGGTTGAATTACTCATAGCCCAGGCAAAGTGCTGACCGCCCCCCCCCCCTTGCCCCCTGGCCTTTGCACATGCTGTTCTACTGCCTGGAATGCGTCCCTGCCCCCGCTTTGCCTGGCTGAATCTGGCTCCCGTGTCAGGGTGTCAGTTCTCACGTAGAGGTTTCTGTGGTCCCCTGAGGAGCCTCCACTGGGCCCCTCCCCTACCCCAGCGTTGACCACACTGGACAGTTTCTTGTCTGTCTCTCCCAGTACACAATGGTTCTCTGACTTCATGTGCACTAAGACCAGCTTGTAGGAAATGCAGATTCCTCAGTCCAGCTGGGGCCTTGGAGTCTGCATTCTTACATGCCCTGTTTTTTTTGTTTTGTTTTTTTTTAAGATTTTATTTAATTATTTTTAGACAGGGGAAGGGAAGGAGAAAGACAGGGAGAGAAAAATCAGTGTGTGGTTGCCTCTCGAGCACCCCCTACTGGGGACCTGGCTCGCAACCCAGGCATATGCCCTGACTGGGAATTGAACTGGTGACCCACTGGTTCACAGCCTGTGCTCAATCCACTGAGCCACACCAGCCAGAGCCCTGGGGTTCTGCTACAAGTGGTTCTAATACAAGTGTTTCCGGCCACACCTGGGAAAGCTCAGGGCACCATTAAGACAGGGCCTGTTATGTATTTGGGCCTGGCCCAGGCCAGACCTAGAACAAGAGGCTGTTGAATGATATAAATGCTTGTGAGAAGTGAAAATAAACCAGGGAATCCCACCGACTAGAGTGGGTGGCTCTTCAAGGGCACAGGACAGCTGGATCTGGGACCATGCGCTCAGCTGAGAGGGCTGGGGGTCATGCTGACTCAGAGCCCACCAGAGAGCTGGGAGGGCCCCCTGGCTCCTCTCAGCTGTGCTCAACTCCCCACCCAACCCCGCCTCGGCTTCTCTGGGTCAGCTGGCCCCATTTCCCTGTCACCTGTCGTCAGCTACCTCAGGCACTGCCATTATTAGCTTCCAAGAAGCAGGAGGTACAAGAAGAGTGGGCTGTGAGTTTCCCAGAATAGCCAGCCCCTGGGACGGGGCAGCCATCCTGGTCTGGCTGCATTGCTCCTCCCTGGTTAGTGGCCGTTTCACCGGTGAGCAAACCGGCCTAAGGAGGCAAAGCCTCAATCACACAAGCCCAGGCCTGTGTGATTGCAGAGTGCTCTTGTCAGGGGAAGCATTCCAGGGCCGTGGTGAAGATGAAGAACTGTAGAAAGAGAGGGAGTTATCCAGTGCGGGGTTTTCCTGGCAGAGGCGACAGCAGAACCAAGGGTCCTGAGGCAGGAGTGTGGCTGGGTGAAAGGGGCAAGAGAGAGTGAGGGGTGAGGGGCTGCGAGAGTGGAGGTGTGGCAGGGGCGTGGCCCCTCCAAACTTTAAGGGCCACTACTAGTGGTGAGGACAGATGGGAGCCGGGACAGGTGAGAGTGTCATTTGGTCTGGTTTTACTTTTTTTTTAAAATTAAAATATAGCCCTGGCCAGGTATCGTACTGGTTAGAATGTTGTCCCAATATGCTAAGGTTGCAGATTCAGGTCACATACAAGAAGTGACCAACATATGCATAAATAAGTGGGGTGACGAATCCACGTTTCTTTCTCCCTCTAATTAATAAATTAAATTAAAACATAACATTTATACAAGAAATTCCAGAAATTGAATGTGATGATGTTTCAGAAACAAAACAAACTTGTGGAGCAGTCCCCAGATCAAGAACCAGGGCCCCAGTCGCCCCTGACACTCCATCTGCTCACCCCCGGGGCGGCTGCCACCTGGGCATCTGACACCAGGCGCGAGTTTGGGCCGGTTTTCTGCTTTCTATACACATCCTACAGTACAGGGTGGGGTAAAAGCGGGTTTACAGTTCTGAGCATGCAAAACACTTTATACTTGTACGCTATTCGTACTTATTAATGGTTTTCCATACGAGCAACTGTAAACCCACTTTTGTTCCACCCTCTAAGTACTGTTCACACGTGGCTTCTTTTACAACTGTGTTTGAGAGATTTATCCACACTGTGCCCTCTGGTTGTAATTTGTTCTCTCAACGCCCTGTGGTATTGAGTACACCACAGTTTATTTTCCATTTGACTCTTTTTCTTTGAAGATTTTACTTACTTATTTTTAGAGAGAAGGAGAGAGAGGGAAGAAAAAAGGGAGAGAAACCTTGATGTGCAAGAAGATCCATGGATCGGGACCCTCGGATACCCCCACGTGGGGACCTGGCCTGCAACCCAGGCACGTGCCCCAACTGGGAATGGAACCAACGGTCTTTCAGTTGTCAGGGCAGCATCGGGTCGAGGAGCCACACCAGCCAGGGCTTCCATTTGACTTCTAATGGGCATCTGGGGTGTATCCAGGTCTGGGGTGTGACAAACAGCACCGCTAGGAGCACCCTGGTGCGTATCTTTGGTGCACTTACGGATGCATTTCTGACAGAGACGTGCCTAGGAACCACTGCAGGGTCCCAAGAGACCCTAGGACCCCGTGAGATGGTGGAGGTGACAAGTCAGATGGGGCATGTGGACGAGGGGCTCGGCAGTGCGGGTGTGAATGCTGCTGCACAGCGACCCACAGGAGCCTGCGGAAGTCACTGGCCTGCTCCCTAGGAGTCCTCGGACAAGCCCCGAGAACCAGGCTTTTCCAGTCCCCAGCTGTCCCCAGTAGGACCGGCCTTTCCCTGTGGCCTCTCCTCTGGCAGAGGTCACAGGGCAGCCCTGAAACCAAAAGCACCAAGTCTACCAGTGGTTCGCACTCCAGCACTTCCGCTCTCTGGGCCTCTCTGCCCAAACTGTGTCAGCCGCGGCCTCCTAGTTAGAGGTTCCTCCGTTCCCCTCGGGAATCTCAGTGTGGATTCCTAGGCAGTCCCCTGCCTGCCACGGAAGTGGGCCAGGGTTCCCTCCGGGCCTTCCCAGCTCTGGTCTCCGGGCTTGGGCTTCTGGGGACATCGTGTTGTTCTAGAAAGGAAGGAAGTGCTCGGAGACTGATGGGGACGAGGCGGGGGTGTCAAGAGGACCCAGGAGGCAGCTCAAGTGGGTTATCGCTGGCCAAATTTGTGGCCATTTGAGCACCAGAAAAGACTATAACTGTTCATATCAGATAAAAAAAAACACATGAGTTTACAGCAGTATTCAAAAAATGGAAAAACTCGTTGCATTATGGAATGCTAGTCAGCAACAGAAATTAATTGGTACATGCCATAGAACGGACAAACCACAAAACGTCATTTGAAGCCAAGCATGAAGACCACCTACAGCAGGATTCCATTTGCAGAAGTGTCTAAAAGGCAAATCGAGAGAGGAAAGTAGCGGCCTGGGGGCTGGGGGGCTCACTGCAGATGGGCACAAGGGGGCTTCCTGTGGGGGTGGAAATGAGTCTACTGCGGCACAGCTCCGCTCCGTAAAATTACTGAGGAAAAGCATTCGAACGAATGCGTTTTACGGCATCCGGATGATACCTTAACAGCTGTTTCAGTCAAACCAACCCACCTGCCAGCGTTGGAGGCGACAGTATCGGACGACGTCTCTGAAACTGGCAAAGGGGGTCACACAGTCTCCTTTTCAGGTGGAACTTGAGTCCACTGGTTGATAGGAAACTTCTTTTCCGAGTCCCAGCAGATACCAGAGGATGACTGACACATTTTCGAGGTGTGATTACGGTATTTTGGTTGTCAGAGAACCACCTTATCTTTATGTTCAGGTGCTTACAGGTAAAGCACATGTCTGAAACTTCTCTAAAATATATTTTTAAAAGAAATGGCAAGATGTTAATTACTAACCAGATGTTGATTTTATGGGTAGGCTGTACATAGTTTTCTTTTTAACTTTTCAGTACCTTTGAACATTTCCCAAATTTTTTTCTTCTTTTTCTAAGCACCCTTCAAATGAAGCTTGTGCTGACCACCCTTGAACACAGCCGAAGGTCAGGGTGGGCTCCTACCTGCCGCTCCCACTTGTCCCAGTCCCACACCCTGGCTCTCACCAGGTCAGGTGGTGACTGATGGCGCCTGCGTCTTTGCCCCTGGTCTCCTCCGACACCCGCATCCTGCAGATGTGGGCACAGGCTCAGGAGTAGCCACCCCACGAGATCTGCCTGAGCTGGTCCACACCCAGGCTGCCCACCCACATCGGTGCCCCCAAGCACTTCACTGGCCACTCCTTCTCCTCCCCGACACGGGCCCTCCTGGCCTAGGGACGTGCGAACCCTGCCAGGCTTAGTGGTCCCAGGACTCGAAGCCTCCGCCAGGCTGCCCTCAACCCTTGCCCTCCTGGAACCCCTACCAACTGCACCCCAAAGAGGGTCCCAGCCCTGGCCCAGGAAGTAAAGGGCCACATGTGTACCCAGTGGCATGGCAACTGGGGGAGAAATCCCTTAAATCGTTTATTCGACTCGAAGTCAATGCACAGATGCTCTACCGTACAAAAGTCGGAAGCCGCAACAGACCGAGTGCCAGGGGCAGTGCATGGATGTGTAAACAGACAAAATGAAAATGCCACCTCTGTGATTTAGGAGCAAATCAGCGTGGGCCGGGCCCAGGCCCAGGCCCAAGCCCGAGATTACATTCACAGCGCAGGTTAAGTGCAAATGAACGGAATGTTGGGATGGAGGAGCACCACCCGGGCCTCCCCTCCCAGGAAGCTGCTGGGTTCGGAGCCAGACCGAGGTTAGTGCGCAGCAGCCCCCCAGTCTGGGGAGTACGGGGCAGTGGGGGTAGATGCGGGCACGTGGGGGGCAGATTTTAGGAGGAAACTGGACTCACAGAGGGCAGATCATGACCAACATCTCCCGCCCCCATCTCCCCTCCCTCTGGAACTAAATGGGCAAGATCACCCCCTCTTGGGGCCCCTTTGCCATTCAGGGGAGAGGGGAGCCAGTCCCCCAAATCCAGAGAATGGAGAACCAGGAGAACAGTATTTCTCTCGAGCACCTCTCAACCTGGACAGGGGCAGAACCTCAAAATAAAGTGTTAAGGCAATAAATAAAACATCCCAGCTCAGGTAAAAACACCCTAAGGGAAGTGAGTCTGCAGGGCAGAGAGAAAGTGGGGACAAATGACATGGGAACACGTGCTGACCACCTTTCTCTGAAGGCCAGCGGGGAGGCGGGCCCCACACTGCTGCCTGACTGGAGAGCAATTGCACACCTGGCTGGAGGCTAGGTGCCGTGCAGGTTCTTGTCCTGGGGAGGGCGTGAGCTGGCCCAGCCCTGCACACCCCCCGACTGCCCCCAGTGTGGTCCCTGGGCCCCTTGCTCCTCGGGCCACCAACAATGGCAGCACAGGTGATGGGCTGGGTCAGAGCCTCCAGCTCCATGCCTGGCACCGCCCAGGGAGTCCAGGGCTCCCCGAGGGAGGTGGGTAGGGGCGGGAGGACCAGCCCCACCTCCTGTCTTTGGTGGTGGCAGAAGTGAGAGGAGAAATGACAGGCTTTGGCAGGCAGAGGGAGTGTCAGAGGACGGTGTCCTGGTCTGGTGCTTGGATCTGTCCAGGACCCGCTCCCTGCCCAGATGTGAGCACAAGGGGGGCAGGCCCCGTTCTGTCCCCACTCCGGATGCTCCAAGCACGTTGCTACCAAGGATGCCCACAGTCCCACTCTCCCGGTCTGAGGCCCGCACGCTCCCCCTCTGGAGCCGCAAACTCTGTAGTGTGGCGGCGTGATTATTGCGAATGGCCAGCCACGTGCCTGGATTCTGAAACCTTCAGCCCAGGTTCCTGCTGGCTTAAGACACCAGCGATCTTGACCATAAAGCCCTGCCGTCCCCACCTTTCTCCACCACCCTCCCGGCTCAGCTGTCGGTAGCCCTGGGTGGGGGGAGCTCTTGGGGGTCCCACACCCAGGGCACCCCAGCTCTGCCGGCCCCGATTCTCCTCACAACACCTTCCTCCCTCCCTCCCTCTCCCTCTCACTACCTTCTCCTCCCGCAGGCCCCACTGGCTGCTGGTCCAGCCTCTGCTTCCCCAGGGACAACCAAGGGCAGTCAGTGGGGCCTCTAGGGGCTCCATCCCTCTCCAAGGAAGTTTGCCCCCAGGCCTTAGGGATTCCCAGGTGATGGGGGCAGGGCAAGGTCAGGGGCAACTGCCCATGGTCACCACAGCCAGGGCTCTGCTGCTGCCAAGGGCCATAGAAGGCAGGCTCCGGGTGCCAACCCAAAGGACGAAGGAGACACCTTCTCTCTGCCACCACCCATGTGGACAAGGCTCCGGCAGCCACCCCTCCCCAGCCTGCTCCAGCCACTACTGCAGCTCCTCCAGGGGACCGTTGTCTCGGGGTAGCACACCATTCAGGCCAACGCTGCTGGTCACCGACGTCCCCAGGTAGCCGAGCAGGATCTCGCTGCGGCGCCGGGACAGCTGCAGGATGTCGTGCGTCAGCGCTGGCACCGAGGTGTAGCGCACGTTGTCCAGGTCAAACATGTCCCGCAGGTACTGCACGATCTGGTCCTGGGGGCAGGGCTGGTGTGAGGCCTGGGCTGGCACCCCTGCCTGCCGCCAACAGCCTCCAGACCCCCAGAGCTCTCCTGGGCTTCCTCAGAACCCCCCGGGCCAGGATCCCCAGGGAAGGAGCAGCAAGTGCTCTCCGCAGGTGCCCCGGGGCCCTTTTGGGGGTGGGGGGAGCAGGCCAGGCTCTCACTCCACTCCTGGTACCTTCCAGGGCTCCGATTCCAGGGGCCGTGGCAGGCAGGGCCCCAGTGGGGGCAGCAGCCACCATACTCCCCACTTACCTTAAAGAAAGCACAGACCTCGGCGAGCTGGGGCTTGGGCCCAAGGAAGCCGAAGGCCAAGACTGGGCTAACGTGCTCCGATACGGAGTAGAAATGGGAGATGAAGCCATCAGGCACCTGTCAGGGCAGCAAGGCTGAGGTTGGGACCTTGGTGTCCTCTTCAGAGCTGGGCTTTAGAGGGAGACCTGCAGCATTCACATCCTCGCTGGGTGACCCCAGACAAGCAACTAGGGAAGACCACTTTCTCACCTCTACAGAACCAAGGGAACCTCGGGGCTGCCGTGGGGCGGGGGAGCAGGGCTGGGGAGGGCTCGGCACAGAAGTGCCCAGTGTGTGGTGGCAGCAGCTGGTATCAGCTGGGCAGCAGAGCCTGGCTGGCGGAGAGGTACAAAGGAACGCAGGCCCGACACTGCAGCCAGCGCCGCCTGGGAGCGCAGATGAACTGCAGCCCAGCGGCGGGCAGGGCCACTGCCTACTCCGGCGTCCTGCCCCCACCCAGATGCCTCAGCCCATCCCCTTCCTCCCTCCAAGGACGCCCTTTCCCCCTTCCGATTCCCTCAGCACTCCCCAGTGTCCTACTCTGCTGGGCCCTGCAGGGTGAGGTGAAGGTGCTCCTGGCCAGGGGAGGGGCACCGACAGACAGGTGGCCAGGGCTATAACAGAGACCAAAAGGTGCAGCCAGGCTGGGGGCTCAGCAAGGCCTTCCTGCACCTGCCCCATTCTTCTGCCCACCCTGCCCTGTCCTGCCCCGACTAGAAGCCAACATGCCCCGAATGGAGGGGCAGCTGAGCGGGTGCCACCCCCAGAGCACCCACAGCACTCGCCAAGGGCCCTGTCAGGTCACTCACCATCAGCAGCCTCCTCTTGGCTTTGAGGACTGACCAGCAAGCAGTGGCCAGGGCCTAAATCAAAGATGGGACCCACTGGGTGCCAGAGTAATAGGCTGGGCCACAGCCCCTGCCCACTGCCCAGCCCCGCACCGAGCGCTCGCTCCCAGCAGGAAGATGGGGCTTGTACCTGAGCTCTGCCACTTCCCTCCCCTCAATTAGGAAGCAGATACAACTAAACCTGAGGCCTGATGCTAATGCCGGCCCCCGAAGGCCCCAAGAGGAGCTGCCGAACATCTCGGGGCCTCCATTTCCCGATCTCTAGAAGGGCCGTGAGCTGGCACCCCATCCCATCCAGGGGGTGTGGGATCCACAGCGACCGCCTGGACACTGCCTGTGAAGACCAGCCCCTGCCACCCGTCCGTCCGGGCTTCCTGAGCAGCACGCCTGCCCAGCAGGGGCCCCAAGCACAGCGCTCTCCTGCTGCTCCTCTCCCATATTTTAACCTAATAGGATGCATTGAAATTGAACAGCGTGAACGCCAGCACAGAATGAGCAGAATTGAGTCAGTGAAGCCATTGCAGGAGAGGACAACGCACAGGCCACTAGCTTTACCACGTTGCGAAGAGAGCAACAGGGTCCCTGCGGGGGGGCTCCTCTAGGGCAGCCGAGCTGGGAGCGGCCCCAAGGGACGACCGTTGACTGGTGCAGGGGAGCCCGGCCTCGGTACCCAAAGCCAGGGATGGAGGGAATCAGGGTCCAGGCCAACACGTGGGTTCCTGAGAGTGTGTGTTGGGAGGAGGGGCCGCCACCCACCGTCTCCTTGAAGCTGTCCGAGAGCCAGCGGTTCCTCAGGACGGCAAGCACTGAGGACGGGGGGTTCTCCAGGTCCTCAAAGGCGTCCATGAGGATGAAGTCCAGCACGATGTCAAAGAAGCTCATGCACACCACCTGTGATAGGCAGGCTGCTCTACGGGCAGGACCACGGAGCTGGGGGGGGGAGCCCAAGGCGGTAGGGGCGTGTGGGGCCACAGGGGGGCACAGATGCATCTCTGCTCTGTGACCGGGTGCAGCTGGGGCCATCTCTCTCTCAGCCCGGGCCTGGGGCAGGGCAGAAACTTGGGGCTTATGGCAGTGATGGAGCCACCTGGGACCCTCAGGATCAAGGCAGAGCTCAGCACAACAGCCCCCACCCTCTGCTCAGGGTCTCAGGTACTAAGCACAAACCTACTCACCCCTCGGCCCTCCAGCTCCAGCCGAGTGGTAGCCCAGGTCTCCGGGCGCAGGGCGTAGTTCAGCATCTCCTCGTAGCTCTCCAGGAAGCCTTTGGGGCTCTGTGGGGAAAGGCCCCAGACCCATCTGGACCAGACCTGTGGGGACGGGCTGGCCCATGGATGGGGGACGTGCCAAGGCAGGGCCAGGGCCAGTCGCTGAGTGGCAGCCATGGAGGAAAAGAGGCAGGGAGGGTCCCCTGCCCACCTCGATGTGCCTCTGCGGAGACCCAGGCATCTCCAGAACAGATCCAACGGCAGGCGCCCAGCGGCGCCTCACGCCAGCCCATTGCTGAGCACCCGTCTTCCAGGGGGTACACACACCCTACGGCAGGATCTCGCTTTGGAAGGATGGGTGAGGGTGCGAGGCCGAGTCAGGCAGCCAGAGATCCAAACCTCTACGACCTCGAGCCTCGCTGGTGAAATGGGGGAAACTACAGCTCCACACTTGCAGGGCTTTTCCGGGGGAGCCGATAAGCTCATGCACGTAACACAGTTGGCCCGGTGCCTGGACCTCGGCAGTGATGGGGCGTGAACCGTGGGCACACAGGCGGGCCCCTCACTCTCCGGCACTGCAGGGCTCAGCTGGAGCACGACCTGCAGGAGCAGGTAGGCACGTATGGACATGGGAAGCTAGTACGTGCCGGGACTGATCTAATGTGAATCAACACACCTAGTTTGTACTGTCCTAAGAGGCACACCCTGGTATTATGCCCACTTTACAGACAAGAATACTGAGGTTTTGAGACATCGAGGATGTATCCAAGAGCCAGGCAGGGTGAAGCTGACACTGAAGAGCATGGGCAGGTTGATGCCATTTACAGAACCGAGGGCAGAGGCGGCACCGGAGTGGTGGTCACCACAACACGAACAGGGCGGTCCCGGAGCTCACGGGTGAGGACAGCCCATGAGTGGGATGTGGAGTGAAGGGCCACGCTGGGCCCTCAATGGTAAGAGCCAGGTAAAGACATCCTAGGGAAAGAGCTGCCTGGTGGGGACTTAGAAGACAGGTGACCAAGGAAGAGGGGCGGGAGGGGGACTGGGAGCTTCCAGGCACCAGTATCACTGCACTTCCAAGCCTAGGTGCGGGACACACAGGGTCCCTCTCTTGCTAACCCCACAGACGCACCTTTCCATCTCCCAAGTGCACCTTACAACGACGTTAACAAACGAAGGAGGGAGAGCGGGCCAGGCACAGAGGAACTGGCACAGGCAAAGGCCCAGTCAGGGAGAAAGTTGGCATGGACCAGTCTGCACAGGGCAAAGTGCGTAGCACGGCAGGTCACCGTGGGAAGCCTGCCGTTGACACTGAGGGCAGCAGGAGCGTGGGAAACGGGGTCACAGGTGGGGTTTGGAACCATCACTCTGGCATGTGAGGAGAAAGGACTGAGGGGAAAAAGGCACCTTTAAGAGCTTTATTCAGACCCATCAAAGAGACGCAGGTAACCAACGGACATGGAAATGGATGCAGCCTCACTAATGATGAAAGAAACATCAAGCGTGAATAAAACAAAGATTAAAAAGATTGTTAACATCCAGCACTGGCCAAGATGAAAGGAGACGCACCCCGCACTGCTGGAGAGGACCTAAGCTGGTAAAGGGTCTGGGAGGGCGCACCGGCCTGCCCGCCCGCCAGCCCTTTCCATGCCGGCGCCCAGGGTTGCCGTGGCTACGGTGTCCCACAGCCTGCCTCACGGCACGGAGAAAACTGCAGGGACTGGTTTTGACAGTGGTGTCCGCGCCTCTGAAACACGAGGCCCAGGCCAAACGCCCATCGCCAAGAGGACTGGACAAGCTACAGGCAGCCACCCACGAGGAAGCAACGTAACTGGTCACCGTCACTGCAGGGACACGTGAATGACACACTCACACACGGCACAGCGAGGCTGCACAGAGGCCACGGGCACAGCCTGAGCCTTGGAAATTAAATAACAAGTTCAAGGAGTAAAGTCCACGAAAGTGGGCAGGACAGATGGGTCATGGTTTCCCCTGGCTGGTGGGGTTCAGGGAGACGCCCTGAAATGCATATGAAATGCAGACGTGGTTTGCATTTCATAGTTGGTGAATTCAGTAGAGCTGTATTATACTGTAATCAGAAATAAGAAGCAATACAGACCCACATTTCTTAAAATTAGCACAGGAAGAATCTCCAAGCCTTTCCTAGCTCTCCTACAGGATAAAGTCAAAGTTCCCCTGCTTGACTTCAGTTAGGGCTTTCCTTTTCATTTCTTTTCACATAAGCAAATAAAAGTTAAAAACGGAAATAGAACAAGCTGAGGGGGGAAGGAAGCCGGAGAGAAGAGCCCCCCACAACTACCTTCTCAGCCTTCGTCATCAGGCCCGTCACCATCTGCCGGCCGACCTCCCCGAAGAAAAGCTGGTTACTCCGGTCTCCCAGGAGGCCCTGAGGAATGGGGGCGGGGCGGGGGGAGAGTGAGCCACGCGGCTGGCAGTCCCCCACAGCCATGAAGAGGGCGGTCCGATGTGCTGAGCAGGCGACCCACCTGCTCACTGAGACCTGCCTGCCCGGCCCGGCCCCGACCCCACCCTCCCAGGAGCTCCACCCCACACCCACCTCGAACGCCTGACGCACACAGTGCAGCTTGGCCAGGAAGTCCTGGTCACTGTAGCAGCCCAGCAGCTCCGTCCTGCGGGGAACCACAGTCAGTCACGCCACCTGGGCCCCATCCGGTGAAGCCCCCATGGGGTTCTGGGTAGAGCCCCAGGTGGCTCTGCCTTGGCCTGGCAGTGTGACCTAGGGCAAGTATCTGTCCCACTGTGCGCCTTGGTCTGCCCCAAACCAAAGAAAGAGGCTGACTGGATGCTCTCTGAGGACATGTCAGCCTCAGTAACCCTGGGCACAGCCAGCAGGTCTAGTCACTGGGAGCTGAGCTGACCTTGGTCTCTTTTCAGCCCCAATTAGCTAAGGACAGCAATGGCCAACGGCTCCCAGTGGGCAGAAGGCCAGGGCAGGGAGCTGCCACCCAGCTGGGTCTGGGACCCTTTGGCCAAATCACCAGGGCTTCAACTGGGGCTTTTAACTACTTCAGTCCGTGAAACACACAGATCTTAAATTTGGAGCCATGCCCAAAAGTTATGATTTTCATGTCATACAGAAAAATTAATTTAAAATGAATTAAAAAACCTAAATATACCACAGAAAGGGTTGTATCAGGACACAGGGCCAAGGAACGAGGCCCACTGTTTCCAGGGCTAGGTCCCCCTGAGAACTCGGAACAAGCACGAAATACTGTTGGTTTATTAATTGTATTAATTTGTCATTGTTAATTCCAGACATGCCTGTCTCAATGCTCGGGGCCACCCCAGGCCCTCCTCGGTGGGGCAGGAGTGGGTGCCAGCCCATCACAGCCCTTGGTGAGCCTGGCCCAGCCGAGTCCTCACCAAAGACTGCTGGTTTCTCTGGCCTCCTCCGAGGGGGCCGGCACCTGCCCCACCTGCCCTGCACTCACCTGAGGGTCCGACAGAGCACCTTCCCCTCCTTCACCAGCTGCAGGGCCTCCTCGTAGGCGGCAGCGGGCCTGGAGAGCGGAACCAGGTAATCGCCAGCCTGCAGGGACTCAAAGAGCTGGGGAGGGGGCAGAGGGAGAGGGTGGGCACGTCAAAGCCCGTGTCCACAGCATCCCGGGGGCTGAGTGCCCATGCCCAGCAGACACCCGAGGGGCCAACCTCTCAGAGGGGATATCTGAAGGAGCACTGGTCTAAGAGGCACAGGCCTGGGTTCAAGTCTATCTCTGGCCTCCTGTCCCCGTCTCCAGGGACTCTTCCCAAAGAAACCCGAGCCCATGTCCTCCTACTGCAGGCCAGGACAGCAGGACCTGACACATAGACCATGACAGAGGACTACCGCCAAGCAGCGGGCACGTGGCAGAGAGAAGGGAGAGGTCAGCACAGGCCGGAGCTGGTGGGGGCGGAGAGCCCTGTCCTCACCCCCAGGACCTGTGAGCCCTGGGTTCTCAGGCCTCCCGGTCCCCAGCAACTGCATGGAGCCCCCAGGGAGCAGCACTTGGTGACTGCCAAATTCGCTTGCACCGGAGCAAACAGCCGCACTTTCCCACGACCACGCTCACCCAGGGTCGCACAGAGGCCCAGCCTCCACTCCACCCACCCCTGTGTCCATCCGCCTCCCATGTCACCTCGGTGGCAGAGAAGAAGGAGTCCTCCGAGGTCAGGCTGTCCTCGTCGTCTGCCCGCAGGTGCAGTGAGCCCTCAGTCAGGGGCAGCATGAGGGTCCGCTCTGCAAAGAGCGGGGAGAGGAGGGCTGAGCCGAGACCCCAAGCTCCCCGGCAGGACGCACGCACTCAGCACCCAGGACACTGGGCCCCGGTGGAGGACACAGTCGCGCACAGCGCCCCTGCCCACTGAGCACGTGTGCATGAGGACCCAGGGCCCCTCGCCATCGACCCTGAGATATCCTTGTGGGGGGCGCAGCGAGGTGTGGAAATGAGGCTGCTGAGGAGACCAGCCCACGGCCGCGCGGCTGCACCCTGACTCCTGGTGGCCCCGAGCTCCTCAGAGGCAGGCCCTGGTGTGCTGTGTGGCCCTGGACAGGTCGCTTCCCCTCTCTGACAAGCTGAAACTTGGCTATCAATACCGAAGGGCTTGCGGGGGCCCACAGGCCACTCACTGGGTGTTCTCATCCTCACCCACCTGAAGGCCGAGCGGGCCTGGACCTGCACGGGCACCTTGGAAAGGCCTGTGAAGCTGATCAGCAGAGTTCACCCCCTGAAAGCCCCACCGGCCTTCTCTGCCGTGTGGGAGGCCAGAGGAAGTGGGACCTCAGACAGGCGAAGTCACTCAGGGAGGGGCTATGGGAAAGCCCGTCGCCCTGACCAGCCTGTGCTGGGCCTGTGTCACCACGGGTAGAGCGGAGGAGCCGGACACTCAGGAGTCGACTGTTCCCCTTGGGGCTGATGGCACACACGGGGAGGCTCGGGGGCTGTCAAGTTCACTGTGCAGGGTGTGGCACCCAGCAGCCACTAGGATGACATTAGCTGTCGGCTGCATAACTTCATTCTCCCAGCGATGCCACGCCCCTTCTGCCCAGAGGGGCAGGGGAATGGCGGGCGCAGGTTCTTGGCCCCTCGGCCTGCTCTAGGTAGGCTAACCCTGGGAGCCATCCCTTCCACGCACCCACTGCCTGCAGAAAAGACTCAAACCAAAGGCCTGAATAAGCCCAAGGCCTACTCCCAAGGGCACAATCCCTTCGACCTCAGGTTTCCCATCTGTGCACTAGATCAGAGGTGGCCAGAGGGCCCTGGGGATTCTGGTTTGCCTAATGCACCGAGGGAGCCACGCCCCGGCTCTCTCGCTGCCTCCCCACCCCCACCCTGCACCCACCCCAGCGCAGCCCAAGAGGGGCCCGGCTCACCCAGATCCAGCAGCACGCTGTCGGACGGGAAGGCGGGCCCAAACTCCTCCTGCAGGTGGTAGGCTCGGTGCAGCAGGGACTCCAGCTTCTCCGCAAACTCCCTCCGCTGCGATTCTGGCTGTGGTTGAAAGGGTGGCTGTCAATCCAGGCCCTGCAAGCTCCCATGCTGACGGCCCTTCCCCTCACCAAGAATGGGGGGCCCAGCCCCTGGAGGGAGAGGAGCAGGCTCTGAGGCCCTGCAGTGTGAGCCCTGGAGCTGCCCAGCCCAGGAGCCCAGTGTGGCCAGCGGGCTCCTGAAAGGCGGTCAGCTGCAACTGAGATGTGCCAGGAGCACACATACACACTGGGCCGCAAACCCTCGGCACCAACGCATAAATACACAAATATCAATCTGGGCCATTGTTCGTGTAGATTACCTGTTGAAATGACGGCACTCTGGATATACTAGCTTACATCGACTACCGTAGTTATTAAAATTAACTCATCTGTTCCCTTTTGCTTTTTAATGTGGCCTCTGGAAACTTTTCAATGAGACGTGTGGCTCCCTACCAGCAGTGCCGTCCTGACCTGAGCCAACCTGGGTGCAGACCTTGGCCCATCAGTTCCAAGCTGTGTGACCTGGAGCAAAAATCATTCCCGTTCTGAGCCTCAGCTTCCTCAGTTTCCCTATCTGTCAGCTGAGTTAAGAGTGCCTACTTCCTGGGGTCCTAGCGAAAGCATGAAGGAGGTAAGCCAGGGAGCGTTAGCTACCGGAACAGTCACTGCACTTGCCACCACTGTACTAGGAGAGCAGTCGGGGGCCCAGAGAGAGCTGTGGGCAGTGCCCGGGAAGGCACAGGGCCCGGGACTGGAGGCTGCGGCCCCTGTGACCTCCTCGCTGCCCCTCGCCTCCAGGCCAGGGCGCGGGGAAGAAGGGGCCCTGCTCCTCTGACCCAGGCTCTTCTGGGCCAAGAGGCCAGGCACCGGCGGGCCCCGCTCTATTTCCACAGAGGCTGCCAGGTCCTGCACTTGCCTGTAACCAGACCCTGGGGAGCAGACAAGGGCCGACTCGGGCCTGAGGCCACTGGGGAGAAAAAGCCAGAAGACCTCGGCAGGGACGCAACGATGTGAATGGCTGCCTTTCACGGAGCGCCCACCCTGGACCAGGCACCTGGTCTCCCTCAAAGGCAGGCGTTACTATGACCCCATTTCATAGAAAAATCTCAAAGGGGTTCAGTGGCCCAGCCTGCTGTCGAGAGCCTGGAAGAGCTGGGATGTGAGCCCGGGCCTGGGGACCCCAGACCCACGGGCCGCTTTGCTCAGCTCCACCACAGGGTCAGACCCTGCTCCACGTGGCTCAAGACTCGGAGCTTTGGCTGACATCTGCCGGCTCTGCCTCTGTGACGTGACCCTGCGTCAGGGAATGGTTTCTTAGCTATGACATCAGAAGTACCAACGACAAAGAGAAAAACAGAGATACTGAATTTCATCATAATTAAAAGACTTCTGTGCTTCAAAGGTCACCACTGAGAAAGTGAAAAGACCACCCACCAAATCAGAGGGGGTGTTTGCAAATCATCTCTCTGACAACGGACTGGCATCTAGACCACCCACACGACTCTCACATTTGTGAGCAAAAAGACAAATTACTGACTTAAAAGCAAAGGACCCGAGTACGGAGTTCTCCAAATAAGATACACAAATGGACAATAAGCACAGAAAAAGATGCTCAACATCGTTAGCCAGCAGGGAAATGCAAACCAAAACCATGACAAGATACCACTTCACACCCACGAAGACGGCTGGAATCAGTCAGACAGTAACAAGTGTTGGCGAGGATGCGGGGAGTCGGAGCCTCGTCCGCGGCTGGTGAGCCCGTGGACTGGTGTGGCTGCCTTGGAAACAGCCTGGCCGCGCCCCAACATGCCCAACGGAGTCCCCATTTGACAGTCCGTCCGCTCCTGAGTACATTCCCGAGAGAATTCGAAATACACGTCCACGCAAAAGTGGATACACAAACATCCACAGCGGTGTTGTTCATAAAAGCCACAAAACAGAAAGCACACAAACGCCCATCTAGCAGTGGATGGACACATGAAACGTGGTCTCTCCGTACAGCAGAACATCAGCCTGTGAAAAACAGAGACAAAGCAGTGACCTACGTTACAAGCAGAGCTCACCTCGAAAGCACCGTTAAGTGAAAGGCGCCAGTCACAAAAGGCCGCGTGCCGTGTAATCTGAAGAAACGCCCAGGACAGGCCCAGCCACAGAGACAGAGAGTGGACTAGCAGTTGCCCGGGGAGGGGGGTGCCGCAGGGGGCTGGGGGCGCTGACTGCTAGGAACATGGGAGCTCCTTTCCGGGCGATGAAATGCTCTGCAGCTGTGACCGTGTGGTCCATGCCTATGATGCTATGGATGCACTGAAAGCCACTGAAGTCTACAACTTACACGGGTGAATTTTATGGTAGGAGGACTGTATTTCAATAGTCTTGTTAAAAAATGTTCACACAGAAAAACGCCTACAAGGATACTACGTGGTTCTGCCTGGATGACGGGTTCTGGGCGTCAATTAATACCGACGATGAAAACCACTTATTGAGCAACTACTACGGGTCAGGCTCAGACGGCGGGCACTGCTGTCTCACCAGGGGCACCAGGTCTCAGTGGGGCCTTTGTCCATGTCACACAGATCACAGCCGGAGCTCTTATTTCCCCCACTCCTTTCCACTTCCATAGTTCTCACTACTTTGTAAGGACTATTTCATTATTTTCACAATATGGAAAACAATGAAAGTGCTATAATGTTAAGATGCAGTATTAGCCCTGACTGTTGTGGCTCAGTGGGTTGGTCCTCCTCCTGCGAACAGAAAGGTTGCCAGTTCGATTCCAGGTCAGGGCACATGCTTGAGCTGTAGGCTAGGTCCCCTCTTGGGGGCGTGCAAGAGGCAACTGATGAATGTTTCTCTCCCCCTCCTTCTCCCTCCCTGCCCCTCTCTAAAAATAAATAAACAAAATCTTTAAAAAGAAAAGATGCAGTGCTGGCAATAAACACAACCTCTTCCTGTGCAACCATGCCCTGCACTAACCGCCCTGCGCGTCACAGCCGAAGTCGTCCCCGTCTCCTGGGGACCCCCAACCGACTAGCCAGACGCTGTCAGACTGCTCCCCAAAGAGATGCCCCCCATTTGACCGCGCTCCAGGAGAGCCCAGGAGCTCAGAGGGCTTTGCTTTTATTTCTAATTTTTATGTATTCATTTTACAGACAGGACGGTGCCGCGTCCTCTTCCAACCGTGTTGCCCGACAAGGTCCAGACGTGGAAAAAGGAATCCAAGGAATCCATCTTTATGGAAGAGAACGTGGCATGCAAAGGGGGGCGGTAATTTGGGGGGATTGCTCTTAGTAACTTCTTTGCTGATGTTATTCATGGTCCTACATGGCACCCTGATTCCCATAGGAACAGGCCATGAGGAGAAAGAGGCTCGAAGTGAGTCAATGATTAACTTTGAGGAAAATTCTGAAGGGACACCTAGTTCTCCCCAGACCATTGAATCATGCCCCCAAATTGTATAAACAAGGTGTTTATAAACCTGAGTAAGAAATTATCCCCGACTGTTGCCATAAAAGAACTCACGTGATCAAAAGGTGGTGGGATTGTTAGACACCTGTATTTCAGGTTCATTGATTCGCATAATTCCAATGAAGTTGTACAAAATAATTCCTTGACCAGAGAACAAAATCCCCTCTAATAAAATAGCTCCTGAATGGCCCTGGCTGGTGTAGCTTAGTGGATTGAGCACAGGCCTGCGAACCAAAAGATCGCGCGGTTCAATTCCCAGTCAGGGCACATGCCTGGGTTGCAGGCTGGTTCTCAGCAGGGGCCAGTTCCCAGCAGGGGATGCACAAGAAGCAACCATACATTGATATTTCTCTCCCTCTCTCTTTCCCTTCCCTTCTAAAGACAAATAAATTTTTAAAAATTAAATAAATAGCTCCTGAATGTCTAAAAGTTGTTAGAGTAACAGCCCCTCCTTTACCTTGAATAGGAATATATATCAATTAGAATTAGACAGGCAAAGAAATAAGAGAAGCTGGTTAGCTGTTACAAACTAAGCACATGGAAACAATTACCAGAGAGTTAGAGTCCATAGTACATAGAGAAACATTTTAGACAGAAAAGATAGATAGCTAAGTTAGACACCACAAAGGCCTTATAATAATTTCCTATAACCTCTACTCAATCTAGCGTATCCTTTTGCCCCATGACAAATTCTGAGAACTTTAATAAACAATAAGACATTCAAACTCTGTACATACAGCTATTTCTAACTGTCTGATTTAAAATACCCGGGTAGAAAATTTCCTGCTTCGCCTAACCGCAAATGTTAATCACTACCAAAAATGAAAATACAAAAACCTGCTTGTACTTGCACTAAACAGAACACAGCTTCACCGTCCTCTGAGTCGTGTTGTTGTCCGTCTCCCATCGCCGACACCTTACCCACCTTTCGGGAGCCCCGGGGCCCAGCTGCGGCCGGACCGTGGCAGGAAGGAGGTGGAGAGAAACACTGATTCGCTGTGGCACCGATTTATGCTGACCCCTGGTTGATCCTAGTACGTGCTCTGAGCAGGGATCAAACCCATGACCTTGTCGTTTGGGGACAACACTAGCCAAAAGAGCCACCCGCTGGGGCCTTTCATTTCTAAGATGAAAAAACCCCACGGCCCCACCACTTCCACAAACCCCACCCACAGGCACGTGCGCAAAGTGAGAAAAGTCAAGCCGTAAAGAAAGGTCCTGCAAAGGGCGGGAAGGCACCACGACCACTGTTTTCCACCTTGCCCTGCGGACCCTCTCCTCGCAGACCGCTGTGGACGGTGTCCTGCGCGTCTGTCGGGGGGAAGTGAGAGTACACACGCACACCAGCAGCTACCGAGAGGCGCACAGGTGAGTGGCTGTGTCTTTATAAAATGCACACAGCCACACTACTACACGCCCGCTGCATCCCGCTGTCCCCGCTTGACGCACCGTGCAGACAGCAGCCTGTCGGCCAGGAACGCCCCTCGGCCTTTGCAGGGCTGCATAGCGCTCCAGACCCCTGCTGCGGGGCGATTAGAGAGTTTCCAGTTTTTCAGCTATTACAGAACAATGCCTCGATGGCTGTCCATCCCAGGACATGCACTTGCTGTGCTTTTCACAAAAATGCTTTATTTTAGCTCTTTCACTTTTTCATTCCTGATGTTGAAATAAAGGTTCACTATAGAAAACTTGGACGATGTCCCCAAGTACGCACAAAGACAAGATGAAGGCGGTGTGGCCCACTCTCTATGCACGCAGGCTGCCTCCCCTGGTCCCGCAGAAACAGGTGGCTGGGGTCGGGGTGAGATCGCCGTGATTTCCTGTGTGAGTACCACACGCCAGGCACGCACACTCAGCCCCTTACGTGAACGTTTACTTGGCGGAACCGACACACCGATCAAGGGGAAAACTCCCGCCCAAGGGGAGGAGTGGCTGGTTGGCAGGAGGCGGGGGGGCTGCGAGGCTGCCTCCCGAAGTCTGGCTGCTTGTCAACCCTCTCCATGGCCGGGGGTGAGGACCACCTACCTCGGACAGTGCCTCTGAAGCGGTCTCGGGGTTCCGGAGGCTGTCCCCCAGTGTGGGGGTGCTGCCAGTGTCCCCCCGCTGCCCCACGCTCAGCGCCTGCTCCCATTTCTGCAGAGCCTCCTCGAACAGCTCCATGCCTGAGAGAAGGGAGGGTCAGGCCCCCGGCGGAGGGGAGCAGCTCCCCCTGTGTCCCCTGAGAGGGCCCCGAAGGACAAAAATGGCAGGACTTTGTTGACCGGGTCCTGATCACCTTTTTAAAAAATTCTCACCCAAGGATGTGTTTATTGGTTTTAGGGAAAGAGAAGGCAGGGAAGGGCAGGGCAAGGGAGGGAAGAAGGGGGGAGGGGGGAAGGGAGTGGGGGAGAGAGAGAAAGAAGAGAGGAGACATCCATTTGAAAGAAAAAGAGAAACATCGATGTGAAAGAGAAACATGATCATCCCTCCTGTACACGGCCTTACTGGGGATCAAACCTGCAATCCAGGCACGTGCCCTGCCCGGGAAGCCAACCCGCCACCTTTGTGTGTGCAGGGCGTGCTCCACCCAACTGCGCCACCCAGCCAGGGCCCTGACCACTTTTTTTATTGGTTTACAGGCCCTTCATTCTGACCAGATTTGTTCCTAGCGGCTGCCCCTCTTCAGAGGTGGATGGAAACCACTGAATGGGGGTTTGGGCATCGGGAGTGGGAGGGGGACGGGAAGGGGGAGGGGGTACAAAGCAGCAGGTGGAGAAGTGCCCTGGGCCTGGTCTGGGCCCTGAAAGGCCATTTCCCGTCACCCGCCCTGGGAGAGCCCGAGACCCCCTCCTGGCCTGTACCTTGCATGTAGAGACTCTCCGCATTGCCGTTGCTGGTGGTCGCAGACTCCTCCACCCCCCTGGCGTCCCACGGTCCCGAGCACGCAGCCGTGGGGCTGGATGAGTTCACCACCACCATCTGGGCACCAGGCGGTGCAAAGACCCAAAAGCGAGGGGTGAGGCCTTTCCAGGCTCTGCAGGACCTGAGGCTCCCCAACTGCCTGACCGCCTGCCACACCTGCTCTCTCTCCTGAGTGCAGAGGCCATGTCCTCAGCAAGTCCTGGTCCACCCCCTCCATGCGCCTGACTACCCCTCACAGAAACTGCTGAGGCCGACATCCAACCCAGGATCCTGCAGCCTTGAACCAAACCTACCCCAGGCCCGCCCCCTGCTCTGGGGCTGCACTACCAGTCAGACCAGCAAGACAAGGACTCAGCCAGCACGTGCGGGTTGGTCAGGGCCCACTGTCACCCCCACTGCTCTCCCGCGTGAGCAGCCACCTGCACTGACAGGCTGTGGTTTCCTCCAGGACAAGGGTCATCTCTTGCTCACCCCTGTAACCCCAGGGCAGGCCCGGCTCCGAGCTGGGCCTTGGTGCTGACTGACTGACTGACTGACTAGAAGAGTCAATGAACCAAAGTCACTCCCCAGAGGAAACAGCCTCTCTGTTATTGGTCTCTGCATCCTCAGCACCTGGCAGAGTCCCTGGCACAAAGCAGATGCCCACTCAACGTCTAACGAATGAATGAACGAACGTTCACAGATGAGTCTTCCCCAAGAGGCATCAGCTTCTCTTCTGCACCGATCCCCCTTTTCCTCACCGACACCTGGCACTCGGTGACCACCTAACAGCCTACAGGACAGACGTCGGTGAGTGACTGCATGTGTGCGTGAACAAATGAAGGACTGCATAGAATCTCTACTCCCGTCTTCCCACCAGTCCACAAGCCCCCTGACAGCAGAGACTGAACCCGACCTGGCAGCAAGGGACGGAGCACTGAGGCCCTGGCAGGCCCCCTGTGCCCTGGCCCCCGTCCTCACCGAGGCCAAGCTGTGGGAGGAGCCCGAGTGCTTGCTGGGCTCGATGGAGGAGATGCCGCTCAGGGTGTCGTTGCTCTTGCTGCTGGGGCTCTGCACCCTCCGGCTGGAGTAGCCTGTGAGGAACAGGAGAGCAGGGGTCGCGGAGGCCTCCCACCCAGCCTTTGTGCAGGCCGGGCTGGTCCCCCTTCCAAGCTGCGCACTTCTCATCTGGAACCTGTCCTGACCTTCGCAGTCAGGGTGGCGGCAGGGCACCCTGAGCCGGGCACTTAACAGAAAGGTGCTAGGCCAGTGCCACTCGCTACCGTGTCCCTGTCACCGGCACAGGGCCAGCTACTTCCCACCTTCTTTTTTTTTTTTTTATTAAATTGACTTTAGAGAGGAGAAAGAGAAACCCTGACCTGCTGCTCCACCCACCCATGTACTCACAGGTGGACTCCCGCAGGTGCCCCAACCAGGTACCAAACCCGCAACCCTGGCATTACTGGGGCGACGCCGCAACCCACTGAATGGCCCGGCCAGGGCTTCCCTGGCCTCCTTCTTCCTCAAGTTGCCCCGTGCTGCTGGCTGGCTGACTGATTAGGAATTCTCCTCCTTCCAAAAAGGATTCAAGGCAACAACTTTTGTAAGACACACCACAAACTTTTTTTTAAGTGAGAGAAGTAAAGAAAGGAAAATCAGGTGAAGCCAGATGTGGGGGGCAGGGAGGAGGTACGGGGAGGGTAAGCAAGAGGCTGGTGCTGAAGTCGCTCCGGGTTTCCCAGGGGTTGATGCAAAGTGGAAACCCAGCGAATCAGCAACTCTCAGGTCCTGTTGTAAACGAACCTGAAAACTTCTTGTTTACTGTTGTGAAGATAAAACTTCCCTTTTGTGATGTTCACAATGGAAACTCTTTTTCACACAAGGACCCAGATGCTCCCAAGGGCCCTGGATGATGAGAACCACCGCCACCTACTGGACACCTGCTGGGCCCCATCACCCACTAAATTCTTACAAGGACGCGAGGCAGGAGGTTCTACTGTCCACGCTGCTTCCCAGATGACAGACAGGAACTCGTAAACAGGATGTCACTAACCTCCAACCCCCACAGTTAATAGGGGCCCAGCTGGGACTTGACTCTGGGCCAGACCCTTGCCCCCCACTGCACACCTACCTTTCTTCACCGATGGGACCTTCCTGGCCATGAGGACGGGAAGCGGCACGGTGCCCAGATGCTCGCCTCCCACCTCAGGGCCAACCTGCTTCTTCCTCCGCCTTCGCCTCTTCAGCTGGTGGGCGGCCAGGGCCAAGGCCACGGTCCCCAGGGCCGTGGCGAAGAGGACCTTCCGCAGGCCTGGTGTCAACCGCAGCTGGGAGAACGCAGACTACAGGAGAAGAGGGAGACAGCTGGTCACATCTCTGCGGGAGAGCCCCAGGCAGGCAGGGCCGCCCCAGGAGCACAAAGGCACCCGGTACACCTCGGGTGGCCGGGGGACTATCTGTTGACCGGAAAATAAGAGGCGGCCACCTCAAGAGGGGGACCTGGCCGGCCCCTCCAAAATGTGGACCGCAGAGGTGTGAAGAGAGGGCTGGCGCTGGGAAAGTGATGATGCCGAGGAAGGAGATCGCGTCTGGGGTCCGGCTGGTGCCAGGAACACCGGCCACGACTCTAACGCTGCAGTGACTGAGCACCTGTGCTCAGGCCGCTGCCCTAGGCCTTCACCTGCACTTCTGTCTGAGCGCCCGTCCTCCTCCAGGTGAGGCATCCGAGTTAAGACACATGCTCGAGGTGACAGAGAAACAGAAAGCAAACCCAGCCCGCCAGCTCCACTTCTCGGTAACTTCCGGAAGACGAAGACATTCAGTCCGTCCAACTGTCCTGCCTGTACACATGCCTGCCCCACCCCGCTCTCTGCCTGCTGGCCTGGGAGCCCCTCCCTGGGCCGCGTCCCACTGGACAGAGCCTTTGAAAGTGTCAGGAGGCCTGGTCGGCACAGGCATTTGAGGATGGCAGACGAAGACCAGGTAGGCACCCCAGACCCCCATCCCAGTCCTTCTTACTCCGCGCAAAGAGGAAACCCTGGACCCCTGGACGGAAATAACAAGGGCCCGGCTTTCCTGACACTGAGTGGCTCCGTGTTTCCAGGTCCAGAGTGGTTAAAGGGCAGGACCACAACCCAGCCAACCTTTACCTGCCCAAACGTCGTGTACAGGAACACAGGGATCTCAGCCACCGTCATGGCCAGGGCCTGGATCATGGACATGCCCTCCGCCCTTCGGAACGCCATGGCAGGAACAACGCCCCGGGCAGGAGCCCCTGGGGCCAAGTGTTTCCAAGGAGAATGTCTTCAGCTGGTTGCTGGCTGGGTCCCAGGCACCGTCCACAGCCGGGGAAGACACGCTTGCGCGTACCAGAGGGTCCCTCCGCCGAGCTGAGAGGCAGATAACAAAGTCAGACACAAGGACATGTGCACGGGACTGGCGAAATGCACACGAGAGTGCCCCGGGGTGTGAGGCGGGAGCACTGCCTCCATCGGGAATGCCAGGCCTAGAACCAGGCCCCAGCCTTCTGCGTCCACCAGCAGGGATGCAGCCAAATGCCCCACGGACCCCCTGCCCGCCATGAGCCCTGGGAGCAGAAGGTGGTGCCTCTGGCACGCTGGCCCCAGGGCAGACCTGGGGACTGAGAGATGGGCAGGTCCCTCTCAAACTCGATGGCCTTTTTTTCCCTAAACACAAATCTCAGGCCTCTAAAGGGTCTGGCCCTGACTGAGAATCATTCCAGTTTTTTCACCTCCCACAAAGCCAAGAATGTTTTACTTCCTGTGGCCTGTGTTATAAAAACAGCAGGGTATTTCCTCAGATAATAACGGCCCCTACACATCTGTGTCTATTGCGTGCCGAGTCCTTCACGTACGTTATGTCACTGAATGATTACAATTAATGTGAAGTAGAGGCTCTCTGCCTGCCCCCCCCACCCTTGCCAATTTCCAATGGGGAAACTGAGGCTCAGGGAGGCTGTCAGGAGTGCAAAGTCACACAGCTGGTAGGAGGTAAGAGTCAGAACTTGGACCCAGGTCTCTCAGACCTCGGGCTCTGTGCAACCCTTTCGCTAAATAGGACGGGGAGCAAGAAGTGGCAAGCCCCAGAAGAACCACAGGCTGCGAGGACGCCCCTCCCCTGGGAGAGACCCCTCTGAGACCCCGCGGGGGTCACCCGCTGCCCATTCCGAGGCTGTAAAGAAGTGGCTCAACCACAGACAGCCCGTTCCCAGGGTCCTGCAGGGTGTTCTTCAACCACCAGCACCAGCACCAATACCCAGGATGCCTTCAAGGTCTCTCGGGAGCTCAACAGACGGAGCACTCGGGCCAGGACAGGCCCTGTCTACTCGGGATGGTAGCCAAAGTCGCTGGACCGGCACGAGAAACAGCTTATCCCCAGTGAGTGGGACGGGAGGACGAAGCTATCAGTCTAGCCCTAGGGCTGGGCCCTGTGTGTGTGTGTGGGGGGGGGGGGGTTGGCAGATTGTTCTGGGGCTGAGGAAACTGTTGTGTCAAGGGTGGCAGATACCTCATCAGGAGGCTGCAAACTGAGCTGTGTGACTGCCAGTGGCCAGGGCCAGGATTAATATCTAAGGCACCCCCTTCCCCCTCTCCAGAGCTGCTTCCGGAGCACTTACTCCAGGCCAGGCATGTGACCAGTTCTCCACAGAGGGCTGTGAGTCCAGTCACTCACAGAACTCTCATGACAACCACTGTATAAAGTAAGGAAACTGAGGCTCCGAGAGGTAAGTGAACCAGCTGAGGTCACTGAGTAAATAGCCAGCCTGGAATGTGGCCTCAGTTCTGGGGGATCCCAAGGCTATGGGTCTTCCCTGAGCCACCTGCTACACTGCCACCTCTCCCTCCACGCTGCACCCGAAGGACTCCTGGGTCCCCGAGTAAGAAGCTCACGTGGAGTAGTAAAGATGAGCCTGAACACATGCTCCAGGGGTGAGACAGGGCTGAGGGGCCTGGCGTGTGTCCGCAGGCAAGTCAAGAGCAGCCTCTGCTGCCCCAAATCGAGGGAAAGAGCACCAGTTACAAGGTGCCAACACCCATCAGGGACAGGTCCAGATCCAGACAGACAAGCCCTATTCCACCCTGGACACCACCCGGAGAGAGACCTCCATGATGATAAGCCCATGGCAATGTCCCCACCCCACGAACACTTCTAATGCCATCCTGACCTGGGAAGTCACCTCTCCTGCCCTATAACCTTGGGCGGGAACCTATTTCTTCCACCCAAACCTTGGCACTTACAACCTCAGGCTGGATGCCCACACGCTCCGCCTGAGAGTGGGGATGTTACTGGATGTCACCTCCTCCCTTGCCCTGGACGATCCCATTAAGGAGTCTGGCCTTAACAGTCCTCCTCTCCGCCTTGACCTTAGCAGCGACCCTGACCCAGGCGCCCCCTTGAACTTTGCCCAGTCTAGTTCATTTCGCCCTGGACACCTCACCAGCCCGACCCGGCTAGGAACTGGGCACTACCACATGGGACCCCAGCAATATCCTCACCTTCAGAATCTGCTTACTCCACCCCAGACATCTCCTAGAGCAGCCTTCATCGTTTGCCCCGACCCCGGGAATATCCTTGAGGGTCCCTCACATGCCGACTGGCGCCGCCCACGGCCAGCGCACCTGCTCTTTCCATCCCGGGTACTTTCCCAGGCCTGCTCCGATCCCCATAACGTTCCAGGCCTGGGCATCTCGTAGCTGACCCGGTACCTTTCGTTCCACCTCTCGCGCCGCCCAGGACTAGGTACCTGCTCATTCCAACCCGAGCCCTTCTAGTCCGGCTGAGCCCGGACACCGATGCCCCTACCCAGTCTCCCGCGCAGGCCCGGCTCCCGCTCCCGCTCCCGCTCGCCGCAAGCCTCAGTCCCGGGCCGCCCGACCGCCCCACGGGCTCAGCCCCGGACGCCACTCACCCGAGATCCCATAGCTGCGGAAGGGCAGCGTCTCCTTCCCCCGGCGTCCGCGCAACCAACCCCTGGGCCGCTCGGGGGCGTGGCCAACTCTCACTTTGGCCAATGAACGTCTCTCAACCGTTCCGTGCGGCTCCGAAGGGGTGTGTCACATGACCAATTTAGTCTAAACTCTTCCTCTGCCCCGCCCTCTAAGTACGGTTGAGGCACGAAAGTGACCTTTTGCCTCCTATGATTGGCCAGAGAGATTATATTGACACAGGAGGCTGGTTGAGTGAGGCGGAGCCGCTCTTAAAGGGGCTGAGGAAAACCCATGAGGTTTTGAAGGGGCTTTGTTGAAGGAAGCTGCGGCAGTCGGAACCCCTGTGTTCGGCTCCCCTACCTCTTTGACGCCCCACAGACAAATTCTTCCTGCACCTCAAACGCCCTTTTTCAAATGCGCCTGACTTCCAAACGCCCGTTTTCAAACTGACTTCCTATAGTATCCTCTTAAACACTTGCCACTTTCCACCTTCTTCTGGAGTCGTTCGCAAAAGTGCTGCGCCTCCCCTACTCACAGTGTCTCCCTGAGAGACGGGAGTCAAGGGCTTCAATTCCGACCATCCGGAGCCGTGCCTTGTATTAAACACTGGGTTTAGAATCAGGCTGACCTGAGTTGGAATCAAGTTTTATCCCTTCAGCTCTCTGGACTTCACTCAGTGTACCCCTCTGTAAAATGGGGTTGGACTCCCTGCCTTGCCAGAGTCGCAGGGCTTGGGTGGGGCTTGGGTGGGGCTTGGAAGAAAACTGCATGGCAGCCCTTTTATAACTGTGAAGAGCTGGGCACATCTAAGTTTTTAAACTATAATTATCAGTAAGGTCATATTCTTTCATTCATTCAACAACTAATACTTCTGCGCACCAGCCCTTTGGCTGGGCATGGGAGCATAGTGGTGGACAAGATACATGTAATGAAGATACATACAATCTTGTGTGATATTGCTGGAATTCGGGAAACTCAGGGATGTGGGGAATACCAGGGGAGACCGGGGCCGTCATGCAGTGGTGAGAGACTTGAGAAAGCAAAAAAGCAACACCCGAAGGGAGACCTGAAGAATAAGTAGGAATTAGCTGGACAAGAAGGAGAGGAAGGAGTTCCAGAAACAGCATGGGATATGCCCCAGAGGCAAGACGGAATCTGGCATCTCTGATTCCAGGTGGCAGAGAGAATGAATGGCAGCCAAGGAGCCAAGGAAGAGGGGGTCAGAGCAGAAGAGAGTGGGCTACACCACTGAACTGGTAGGGTTCTGGGCTAAAATTTGCCACTTGCTTCCCTGTGACCTTGGACAAATCACTTAACTTTGCTAAACCTCAGCTTCCTCGCCCTTAAAATGAGGAGGATGGTGGTTTCTGAGCTGTTCTGAGAATCTTAGGGGATTATTTACTTGAAAGTTCTTAGTGCTGGGCCCGGCATGGGCTCAGGACACTTTGGCCATTGCTATTAGAAAAATGGCAATTGTCAGGTAGAGAGCTAGAAGAATCAGTGAAACAATTAGACCAGGACAGCTCTGAGGCCAGCAATAACCAGCACCTACTGTCTCACTCTCTCCCCTTCACTCCACCGTGTTTCTCTTCCTAGGACTTGTCACCTGACATAAGTTTGTTTTCCCAAGAGGAGAGAGGCACTGCTTTATTCACTATTGTCTAGAACAGTGCCTGGCACACAACAGGTGCTGAGAGTACCTCCTCCTTGACCAAACCTGAGTTAGCTCCTCCGAGCGCACAGCTCCACTAGGCTCAGCCTTGGGCTTCCATCTCCATCCCGGCAGGAACGTTCTAGCCAGAATCCTGCTGAGTCAGTTTAGCAAAAAAATCCCCCACCACTGGTAATCTGATCATCCTCTGTATTTGATGGAGTTCCTGGTTCTCCACCCTCCACATCTTATCACCCTGGCTTGCCTTTGGCAAGAATCCCGCTAGCCTTGAGGCTTCTTCTTAGGCATTTTCCATCCACTGCCCCCACCCTGCTCCTTGGCTGTAAATCTCCACTTGACCTTGTATTTGGAGTTGAGCCTGATCTGTCTCCCTTATTGCAAACCCCCACTATGCTAGCCTCTCTTGAATAAAATCTTCTTTACCATCTTAACAAGTATCACAAATGTCTTTTTTTCTTTAACAGTGCTCAATGTGAGTTATTGTGTAAATGAATATGTAACGATATTGATAGATGCCTGTTGAAAGATGATACTGAGGCAGGGACAGCACAGGGTGAACTCTGAGACTGCACTGCTCTTACTAGCCAGCTTCTCGAATCCTGCCTGGTTGCTGGGAAACACCTTTTAGCACTTAGGTAGAGTGAATAGTAAACCAAGCAGGGAGGAGGAAGGAGACTTGTCTCACCCACTAACTCAGCAGTCCTGAGCCTGGTCCGATAATATTGCCATCACAAGAAACACTGTTAGCACAGGACGGGGGAAGTCCTCAAAATTCTGTGTAGCGTTTCCACTGTCTGGGACAGAAAGCCCTGAAACTGTGCTTTCATCCCCAGGCTGGGACCTACAGTGCCCAAGGAAGCAGTCCATAAGACAGCTTTGGTTAACTGCCCACCTGTGGTCACTACCTGTGGTTTTATGAGGGACTCACTGATGCTTACAGAAAGAGCACATGAATAACTTTGGGTAACTGGCCCAACTTTAATTAATTGCCTCGTGGCATGTATCTGTTTTACAATAGGACAAACAAATGGAGCTCTGGCTGGTGTGGCTCAGTGGACTGAGCGCTGGCCTGTAAACTGGAAGGTCACTGGTTCTGTTCCCAGTCAGGGCACACGTCTGGGTTGCGTGCCAAGTCCCCAGTTGGGGGGGTGTGAGAGGCAACCGACTGATGTTTCTTTCCCTCTTTCTCCCTCCGTTTCCCTCTTTCTAAAAATAGGTAAATAAAATCTTTTTTTTTTTTTTTTTAAAGATGAACAAATGGAGTCTGGAGCAAGGTAAGGATTTGGGCTAACAGACCCTGCCCCCACCCCACATACCTAAGTTTGGGTAGTCATGTTCCCCCAGGGAAAGCTGGCACCACCTTCACCCCTCAATCAATATATAACTTTTCCACCCCCATCCCACCAACTCTGTAAGTCCTCCGAACAAAGGACTCCCTCTCTTGGTTCTCTGGCCACTGGCCTCAGGCCACCGGGGCTTGCCACCCCAGCCTTCTCCGCTGCCCTTCCTTTCGCAGCCCTGCATTGCCCTGAACCTGTGCTTTTCACCCCCTCACCTCAGCTAGATCCCTTCTCTTACATCGGAACAGATCACTAATGAACCCTGACTGCACGCCAATAGATTTGCTGATATACAATTCTTTACATGCGTCAGCAAGAAGAACCAGGTCTTTCCTGTTGACAATATGGCTGGATGCTGGGTAAATAAATGATAGGGTCAACTATAGGCAGATACTGGTAAATAAGTCAAGGACCAATACAGATGAGTAGAAACACATAGAGAACACAGAAATAGACAAAGAAACATACAGATGCCCTGAAAGTGTGTAAGAGACAGGAAGCCGATGGTGGTTCCACACACATAATAATTCAGATCAGTGGTTTTGAACCTGGAATGCACATTTAAAATAAAGCACATGGAAGCTTTTCAACCCCTTGCCCCCACAAAGAAGCAGGGCTGGGAGTGGGGATGGGTTTGGGTTATCAACAAACCGTCAGGGGACCCAAGGCTCCTGTGCACAGACAGGCTGGGGTAGGTGATGGGGAACTGGGGTAAGTGCAGGGAAATAAAGCCAGGCATCCAAGCGACAGAAGCAGGGAGGAGAGCATACCAGTTCAGGAACGGCGCTCTCCACAAGGTTAAAAAGACGAACCCTCACCGGAGGGGGCACATACCAGCAGACCATCCTCTTGTCTGCCTGGGGTTGTGAGGAGCTAGGTTCAAAGTCAGCGCAAGTCCATTCTCCACTCTTTCCTTCAAGTGGGCAGAATGGAAGCGCCCCTCTTCTCTTCCCTTCCCGTAATTATTCGTACACCCTGCCCCAACTCTGGGGATCTAAGGGGTTGAGGTGGGGGACAAACAGCCTTTTTCCAGTTGTGGTCCCCAGCCAGCCTGTCCCCTGGCTCAGTTGTTCTTACTGTCACCAAGGTCAAGGGTAGCTTAGAGCTCAAGGTGGTGATGGTGGCAGTGAGCAGCGCAGAGAGACCCAGGGCAAAAGAGGTCCAGAAGTAGGGAGACGGAGGGCCAAGCGGAGAAGTGGTTGCAAATGGACAAAGGGAGATGAAGAGGCACCAATGGGCAAGGGGCCAAGAGGTGAGGAAGCAAGAGAAGCCCGTCGAGCGGCGTGACAGGGCCGCAGGGGGCAGCAGCCAGCAGCTCCAGCTCGGCCACCTCGCCCCGCCCCGCCGCGCCCCGCCCCCCCCGCCCAGTCTGGGAGGCTCCACCCCCGCACCCCGCGCCCCGCCCTGCGCTCTCCAGCTGGCTCGGCTGCGGCTGCTGCGGGCGGGAGGGTTCGCTGAGGGCGGGCGCACCGGCATCAGGTGGGCGGGGTGCGGGCCGGCAAAAGCGGGCGGGGGGCGGCAGGCTGCCCTGGGGCCGGGCGCGGCCCGCGGTGCGGTGCGCCATGGACTTCAACATGAAGAAACTGGCGTCGGACGCGGGCATCTTCTTCACTCGGGCGGTGCAGGTGAGGCCGTGCGTCTCGGGCCCCGCGCGGCCGGTTCCCTGGGCCCGGATGTGGGGCGGACCCGGGGCACCCCTGCAACAGAGCTCGGGGCGCTCAAAAGAAGCCCCTTGAGGCTGCTGCCCCCTTCCTCACTGCGCGGACACCTTAGCACCCCCATGTCTCCTCCTGCGCTGCCTAGGAGAGAGAAAAGAGCTCTAGGCGGC